AGGCATCCTGCTTTATATCAGGTTTATTCTCTTTATTCAGATTTATTCTATTAATCTAGTAAACAAAGCAACTGCTTGCGGAGACCAACCAACAGCTGTGGCATGAACAGCCTTTTGATTTAACTGTATCCCACAAATGCCACTCTAAGTGATGTCGTTTGAAATTTGATAAATATAATCATAATAGCAATTCTTCAGAGGAAATTTCTAATCCCGTTGAACAAGGAAGAAGCGATCAAAAGATCCAGATAAGACAAAGAATTAGAATTTGTTATAGTGCTTGATTTTATAGATGGACTACTTTGGCATCCTTTGCATATTTAAAACTACTTTACTCTGAAGAAGAAAATTAAAGGCATGGGGCATTGAGTGGATCCAACGACAAAACATGACTGAGAAGGGAACACATCTTTATCTTGGATTATTACTAAGGATAAATTGAAAAAATAAATTGACATAGTTTCCATCAACAGGCTTATGAGACCTCAGTCCCATCTGCTTTTCTAAGACTTTTCTTACTGACCTCAAAGTACTTAGAACAGACATTTGGGATTATGCTATTATCATTTTAAAATTAATTTTATAATAATACCAAATGGAAGATTTGGTCCCAATGTCCTAAACACTGTACAGTTCAGATAACATTATGCCTATGCAGCAAGCATTTCACCATGGAAAAACAGGAATTACTCTCTGCTTATGTTTTTCTCCCAACAGAAGCTATTCCACATTCATCTTTCATTGAATCATCCAAATAATTCAAATTCCACAAAGTTAATCCATCATATTTATGTATGTACTTATTTTTGGACTAATTTCTGGGTCATTTTATACTTACTTTTGCCAGTGTTAAGATCCATGGATATCATTTATTGATTCATCTTAACTCTGTTGTCACTGGAATGTGTTTTTCTAACCCTTGATATCTATTATTTTAAAAAGTGTGAAGTGATCCTGAAAACAGGAGACACTACTGACGTATATTACAAGTTTCTTTCAAGAGCCTATGTCCCCAGATAGTTCTGTAAAATAGATTAGGTTAAAAGAGAGACTGATACAAGTCATCTAATAAACTTATTTGGCTGACACATGGATTGAAACTTGCACCCCCTCTATCCTAATCCAACACCCAAAACTACTATACTATACTATTTTTTAAAAAAAAATTAAAACCAATTACACTTACTAATGTACATGCTGTATGTCCTAGGTTCTACTAAGGTATTTTCCCACTACAGAACCAGGATCATAAATCTCAGTTAGAGAATCAGTACTTGAATCTCAGTTTGAACATTTTTGATAATCTCTCTTATGGAACCATCAAGTAACCTAATTCTAACCTAAGTCCATTTGAAAGCAGTGAGAATAATTTCCATAGAGGTATGCACAGAATGAAAGCTTTAGTTTCACTTCCAAAGCTACCCTGGGTTTCTTAAATTGTTGCCCTAGGAATGCCAATTATGCTTAACTACAAAACTGATATTCTTGGGTAGGATGAAAGAACATTGGTGCCAGATCCATTTAATTACAACTTGTCAACCACAGTAGCGAATAGTCCAGTTGTGGGAATTTAATCTAAAGTATATCCACAAAACTAGTCCACAGCTCCTTATCGTGAATGTTTCTATATATATTATTCCTTTGATATACTTGAATTATATTGTATTATATACTTAGCATCTATTTTTTCCTTTGTTCAAAATATTTAACAAATCTGTACCCATTTCATTAATAACTGGTATGTTATGATGTTATTAACTTAAAAGAATGGGCAGAATAAAATGTAGTCAATATGCAACAATGTGTTTCTTCTTGGTTTAAGAGAATTAATAGGAGCAAGAAAAGAGATGAGCAGATAATCACCGATCAACTTCTTTGACATCTTGGCTCTCTGTGGAATTTAAGCTGCAAACCAGAGATATTCTCAGGACAGAGATGTTAATTAGGTCAACAACCAACAGTCAGCTAGCTACAAGCCCAAGAAATGTAGGGCAAAAGTCTATCAAACGATGGTGGGAGAGGTAGGAGAAAGAAGCACCAGAATTGGACTCTAAGTTATAAAAAGGAAACTATACTTTCATGTTGACTAAAGACCAAAAAATGATTTTTGGGGTGGCTGCTTCCTAGTGTGCAATAAAGATTATTATCTAATTGTGTGCTGTTATGTGTCTGAGAGTCTTTAGTTGAGTTCAAACCTAAGAATTTAGGGTGGGTTTTTTTTTTTTTTTGTAAATGCTGTTTTAGGATAAAAGAAAAAATACTTAGAAGAATTAAAACAGAAAAAGAAAAGGGAAGTGCTACTATATATCAATGTTGATCCAAGCAAGCCTGTTCCCTTAGTACTGATTGTACTGCCAATCAGAGCTTACATCTTTAGACAAGGCATGGTTACCACTTTGGAAGCATTTTCCTATTGCTCATTGAAAAGATTTATCAGACACCTTTATGCCATCACAGATCACTTAGAACATTCATCAGTTCCAGCACAAAGGAGCTGAAATGTTCTACACTCGCCTAGAAGTGGCATAGAGACTCTACTGAATCCCATTTACTTTCTTATAAAGACATGCTCCTTGGGCCAATGACTGAAAAAGTTAGATTCATATTGTTGATAGGAATATGCCAGTATGCCTCTTTTTTCATCTGTTGCCACTGTTAAACAGTAAGAGAAAATGAAAGTGGGGAAAAAGATGTATGTGAATTAAATCTCATGCAGTGGTAAAGTGTACAATCTATGTGCAAGTGCACAGCTTCACTGAATCTAGTGATACTTCTATCTGAATATGGTTACATGTATTCAGATATAAGCATCACTGGATTCAGTGTTGCTTCATTAATAAATTTCTGTAGTGTACATGCATGCATTCTAAGCCAGCATACAAGGCACCTCCGGCAGAGTGGATGAAATTTTTTTAAAAATGAAATTATTTGGGATGAAATTGAAACGAGACAATGCCGAAAAGAGTATTTTAGAGAATTGTACAGGAATGATACACTGAAAGGTTGAACTCAAATGTATGATCCTGGAAATACTCAAGAAAAAGATAGTGGAAAGGGAAGCTATAAGAAAATTTCACAAATGGTAAACCTGAAGATGAAAAGGGTATTTGGAGAAATGGGGGGGGGGGAAACGTCATTGTCTGCTTTTAGAATAGCAGCCCAAATATTAAAACTGGAATAATACCAAGAAAATAGGATGTGTACATGAACACTGCAACTTTGGATCTGTGCCTGACAACTGTACTAATGTCCTTGTTCTGTTCTGCAAAGGGAAAACTAAAGTGAACATAAAAATTACAGTGGGATTCATTCAGTGGTGGGTTCCTCCCGGTTCCGCCCGGTTCCGCCGAGCCGGTAGCGGTGACGATATGACATCACCGAACCGGTTCTGCCCCCCTCCCCCCTCCCCCCACATTATTCTTACCTTTTATTTGGCCCCATTCCCAATCTATTGCTGCCTCCTGAGTCCCAGCTGATGGCTAGAGGGAAAAAAACTGTTGCCACAGGGCTTCAAAGGGCCGCCTTACAGCTGATCAGTGTTAAAAGAAAACAAATGAGTAGACCGGTGCCTACAAAAATAAATGGGCAGACCAGTGCCTGCAAAAATACATGAGTAGATCAGTGCCTGCAAAAATAAATGGGTAGACCAGTGCCTGAGAAAATAAATGGGTAGATCGGTACAACTCTGCAAGCATTAAAAGCCTGGTAAACCAGTACCTCTGCTAAATCCTAAATAATTGTCACATGACCATCAAGCCACGCCCACAAAATAAACCACGCCCACAGAACGGGTAGTAAAAATATTTAGAACCCACCCCTGGATTCATTGAAGTTTCCCAGAAGTAGGTTTGGCAGTATTCTGATTAAAGGTTGTCAGAAATGGCAATAATGCAAAATTGGGAAGTGCAGCGTGGCTTTACGTCAGACAGGGTTGTACAGACCAGATTTTTGCTCCTCAGCAGGTTGCTGGAAATATATAAACGTATGAAAAAAGGTTTATTGCACATATAGAATAGAATAGAATAGAATAGAATAGAATAGAATAGAATAGAATAGAATAGAGCTGGAAGGGACCTTGGAGGTCTTCTAGTCCAGCCCCTTGCTCTAGCAGGAGCTAAATTAAATTTGTTAATTTAGACAAAGTAGTGTTGGGACACAGTGGCTCAATGGCTAAGATGCTGAGCTTGTCGATCGAAAGGTCGGCAGTTCAGCGGTTCGAATCCCTAGTGCCGCATAATGGGGTAAGCTCCCATTACTTGTCCCAGCTTCTGCCAACCTAGCAGTTGAAAAGCACCTAAAAAATGCAAATAGAAAAATAGGAACCACGTTTGGTGGGAAGGTAACAGCGTTCCGTGTACCTTTGGCATTTATTCATGCCGGCCACATGACCACAGAGACATCTTCGGACAGCACTGGCTCTTCGGCTTTGAAACGGAGATGAGCACTGCCCCCTAGTCGGGAATAACTAGCACGTATGTGCGAGGAGAACCTTTACCTTTACCTAGTGTTGAGTTAGGGAATTTTTGTGCATATACACAAAAGGTTTGGTTACTGAATGCGATCAGATAGGCATAAAGGGAGATTAAAATGAGAGTATGTAACTGGAATGTTTAGCAAATGATTAAACCCTGAACAGGAAATTGGCTAATGCTTATAGAGAGTAGAGCTACTAGTGTGTGTTTGTGGGGAGAGAGAGAGAGAAAGAGAGAGAGAATTTTTTTAAAAAAGAATACATACCATTAGTTTTTATTTTGCTTGCTTATTTATTTGTTTGTTGGCAACAGGGAGATAATTAGTGTACTTTTCTCTATTTGTATACCAACAATATCCATCATCTTGCTAAGATGCCTGTCCTTAGAGACCTTATTTGGTGGTAACTTTGTTCCTGGCTTTGAATCAGAAAAGAGAGAACTGCTGAAGCTGTATTGTGATGCCACTGTGATGTAAGATGTCACAATACTGGCTTATATCTATGTGGACCCTCTCATTCATTTATTATATTGATGCTGGACATATTTTTCTTTTGAAGGAGAGTGCTAAAAAGAAATTTGGAAGGGGCCAAGGAGTTTTTCTTCAGCAGCTCTTAATTATTTCACCTGAGTATTAACAATAGACTAGTGTAGCATTTTTGAACTTCTTGTAAATGGCTCACTACAAGCATTTTTATGGGAAAAGAAAGAATCATGTAGACTTGTTTCGTATCTCTTCCTTTGTTCCTGAAACCACAACTTCCGATAAAACAGCATGTCAGTAAGTAGAAGCTGATACATCCAAACATAAGTTTGGAATGGGCAAGTGGATGGCAAAGGGAAATGCTTGTTGGTACAGGTAGTCCTCAACTTACCACCACAACTGAGCTCAAAATTTAGGTTCCTAAATGAGAAATATGTTAAGTGAGTTTTCTCCCATTTTATTATTTTTCTTGCCACATTTGTTAAGTGAATCACTGCAGTTATTAAATTAGCACTGTAACATGGTTGTTAAGTGAATCTGGTTTTCCCATTGCCTTTACGTGGCAGAAGGTCGTAAAAAGTGATCACATGACCCTGGGATACTGCAACAGTCATAAATATGAGTCAGTTGTCATGCATCTGAATGTAAATCATGTACTCATGGGGATGCTGCAATGGTCATCAGTGTGAAAAATAGTCATAAGTCACTTTTTCAGTGCTATTGTAACTTCAAACAGTCACTAAATGAGTTGTTGTAAATTGAGGATTACCTATATTTGCTTCTAGCATGTCTGTTAGCAGATCCACCTTCTCCAACTTAATACCATTCCAGAGTGCTCGGCTGTAAACCCCGTTAGCTTTAAATAGTGTGACTAAGGATGATGGGGAATGAAGTCCAACACACTGAAGAGAACCAAGTTGGGACAGGCTGTGATACAAGATTCCAGGCATTTCATAGGATGTGGATTATGTTTTAGAGCAGTGGGGAGGGGGAACTATGGCCCTTTTATGACTTGTGTACTTCAATTCCCAGAATTCCTGAGCCAGCCATGCTGGGAGTTGAAGTCCACAAGTCATAATGGGGCCATAGTGTCCCACCTCTGTAGAGCCTCAGCAACTTTAAGATATGTGGACTTCAACTCCCAGAATTCCTCAGCCAGTCTTGGGAACACTGTCCCAGAGCTTTTCCTTCCTATTTCTTTCCAGAGGCCACACTTCCTGTTTGAGACCTGTGCTCCCCAGACCAGGGATCTCCAACCTTGGCAACTTTACGACTTGTGGACTTCAACTCCCAGAATTCTGGGAGTTGAGGTCCACAAGTCTTAAAGCTGCCAAGTTTGAAGACCTCTGTCCTAGAAGAATGAAATATTCTAGGAAATATTAAAAAGGCAGAATATTATATTTCCCTAGATGAGAAAAGAAGAAACATGTTTTTAAAGACAAAGCAGCTCCTTGCAGCTCCCTGCCCTCCCCCCCCTTCATCTCCTTCCTTCACCCTCAGAATTAGCTTCACTACCTCATCATCCAGCAAGATTCAACCAAGCTTTGGACTCAAGACAACCTACAAAGTTACCCCTACATGGCCCCATGGGAGTCTGACAACCAATCAGGATACCTGCCCTTACACAGGAACAGGAAGCTCCAAGGTGGGGCCCAAGAGAGGGTATAAATCTCTCTCTCTCTCTCACCCATGTGTTCGATTGCCCAGGATCTCGAACCACGTGGTCCTGTCCACCATTAAACCATCTTTCCAAACAGCTTCCATGTTTCCAGTGTCTTTCTCCCCACTTGGAACTGAACCCAGATGGACATTTCTTCCAACAATTACATGTTAAAATTATAATTTGGTAGCAAGCTTTGGAGAGATTTTGGGGAGGCTTTTGTATGCCGCAAGAGGGCGAAGCACCTTAAGAGAATGAATAAGACAAAGAGGTCTCATGATATCTGTCATGATGCCTGGGTCAACTCCTCACAAGATACTGTTTTCATCTACTTAGCAAATGCCCCACTATCAGGTAAGATAAAGTACATGATACTAAAAGAGCAGAGGACAACATTTTCACCTGTTTTTCCATGGGATACTGTACTTCATATAAAGAAAAGAATTGTATCCTTTTGAGAGGGAGGCAGAGTTTCACCTGTGCAGCTTTCCTTGGTATGGCATTGATTATACTTTTTAACCTTTAGTTATCTGCTATCAGCTCCCTTTGTATCTCTGGGAGGACTTTCACCATCTGAGAAAGAAATAGCAAAGGTAAGTGTAATTTCTGGTAGCAATGCTATCGAAAGAAAATGAGACACTGACTGTTATAGAATACGTGCTCCAAATTAAGTTAATGACATTGTAACCTCCTAAAATTCAATTACTCATTTCTTAGGACTGCCTTACCTGGACTGTTAGAAACAGTCATGACCCCTTACTTACCTGAGAATCTTCCATTAGAGCTATAAACTGAGGTGTACAGGCCACAGTGCAATTGTGTATACAATACCATCCAGAGTAGTGGTGGGTTGGCCCTGGTTCGGACCGGTTCGCAAGAACCGGTAGCAAAACCGGTGCGAGGCTCCACCCACCACCCCTGATGTCATCATCAGCGATCTATGCATGCACAGAAGCTTCTGCTCATGCGCAGAAGCAAGGCACGCGCACGATCCTGTTGCGAACCAGTAGTAAAGGTAAGTAGAACCTACCCCTGATCCAGAGGTTATCTGGATTTCTTGATTCAGATATTAAAAGCCTTATGATATTTATAATTGCACAATCATTTTACATGAACTAAAGGTTCTATATTATTCCTATGTATGAACAAGATTTACTAGCAAAAGCTAAGCTGCAAGTGTCTGTGCCTCAGTTAACTATTCTATTGGAAGTAGAGCTCTGCCATACTACTTCATTACACCATCTTTTTGCTCCCAGTTCTCAATTCCTTGATTGATAGATCCCCTACATTTTAAGCTTCATTCCCTCAACATTACAGAACCTTTTGCTTTACATTTAGGAGATTTTCATGAAATCCTGTTTCTTTCACTTGTACCTTTAGTTTTTGTGTGTGCTTGCCCATTGTATTTCTTGACCTGCTTCTTGTCACTGAGATTAGTGACCATATTAATAATGTAATATTAAGCCATGGTTGCTTAACTATGTTTACTTTAATAAATCACAGTTGCTGGGTTCAGACAATATGCTTAGCCAAAAATAAATCATATTACGGCTAGCATGATATATGAACCAGTTTTTCTTATCTCACCTTCCATCAAGTTGTACTTTGTTCCTTCCTATTTATTTCTCCTTCTAGATGAACTTTTTGTTAACTTCCCACACACAGCTGCATAGGTTAGTAATATTTTATAGTTGACTTTTCCCTGTTAAGAACTGGAATGCACATTACCATTATAGCAGACAAAGCTCAAACAACATAAGGAAGATACAAGCATGTGTTTGAAATGAACATCCTAGATAATCCTGCAAGTATTATATTTCACACCGACAAAAGAAATAACAATGAACAGATGGAAACTGCCATGATTTTACAAAAGAGGCAAGCCTCTTGCCTTCTGGATAAAGAAGCTCAAGAAAATGGTTAAGGGTGTTACTGCCATAAATTGCCTATATATAGATTTCTCATTCGAGATTACAGTATTCATTGGATTTCTTGTGTTGCATTGCCAACCTACCTTCTAACAACTGTTAATTAGAACTCTTATAGCCTCATTCCTCAGATGATCTATTTCCAGTCTGATGGATTAGAGGGAAAACCTAACCACACCAAAAGGTATCACCTAAACTGGGTACCTTCAGAAAATGCTGCATCACTTTTACAGCTAAATCACCTTGTCAAGATGTGTCTTTGTTGCTTCACAAAGGCCTACCTCTAGCCTCCCAATGCCTTTCACCCACCCATTTTTACAAAAATTATCACTGAGAATTTTTGGCTCAGATTTCATTTTCCTTTTGCTTTAGAGTGAGAGGAAGGATGTGTTATTATGTAAGCCATTTTACATAAAAACACACCAGAGATTCCCTTCGAAAAATGTTGGTAGTCTCATAGAGAATTGTTTAACAATATTATAAAGAATTCACTTACAATTTTTCTTCAGTGAAAAAATTGGCCGACAACTGTCATTATCTCCATCTATCATTGCTGAAGCATGAGGGGCGGGGGAAGTAGATTGAGATATCTGAATGGCCCTTAATCCAGCAACTTGATCCAAGACAGACAACTAGTTTATCTAAAGAAAAAAATAAAATAAAGGCAAGAAGCAACACACTATTTTATTTCTATGACCTAACAATATTGCCTCTGAAATTTGGATTGCCTAATTATTTCCTTGATAGAGCAGGCAATCAATCTCTTTAGATAAAATGCTGAGGGGATAATGGGCTAAAAATGCTTTTGTATAAGATTTCAGGACCCATGAAACCACGTTTCTTCCGCAATCAAGCAGGACCCACCAATCGCTGGCAATTTCCATTCAGTTCACCCTGTGACTTACTAGGAATTTCACAGAGTGCTAAAGCGAAACAAGATGGCCTCCATAAGAACTTGATTAGAATAATGACAGGTAAGGTGATAACTAGAAATACTGGCTGGGTTCAAATTCCACAATAAGAAATGTATTTGTTTTACCCTTCATTTGTTCTGTTCCCCTTCTCCACGTAGGCAAACACACAACCAGGCACGCCTGCCAAGATTTTATTAAGCAATCAGACTAGAAACCCTTGCAGATAAGAGTGGCAGTAAACTGTGAAATGCCTGCCAAGTCAGTTTTCACTCACAGTCAGCAAGAGAGAGAGTTTCTCCTCAGTCCGGTTCAGTAGCAAAAAATAATCCACGAAGCAAGAATTAGCCAAGGTCCAATCCAAAATATGCACAAGCCAGATTTCAGGTAATGCGATGTGACTCTCTTTTTAACTTTGACTGTCACAAAGCCTGAAGAGCAATCACACCCACTTTTATTCCTTGTGGGGTGTGGCTCAGTGACTCAGCTCAATCTCTGGCCCTCCCACACCTCTTTCGTTGCTGTGCACTCTTCTCCCTCCGACGTGCCTGGGATCAAGCCAGGATTCATCATCCTTGCTCCCTATCTGTTGTTGTTCCGATATGCTTTCGTCCTGGTATATTCCAGGCTGTTCCTCTTGGCCTTCGGATGGAACCTGAGGCATTGCCAGAGAGGAGGGTCCTGGAGAGGGAGGCCTTATCAGTTCCTCCCCATCACCTTCTGAGTCCTCTGTTAGGACAGGCTCGGGAGTCGGGGTCACAACATCATTTGCTAACAAGTTATGAATGCAAGGGTTCATGTACTATGTGAAGCAGAGAAGTAAAAGATATACAGGTAGTCCTTGAGTTATGACTACAATTGAGGCCAAAATTTCTGTTGCTAAGTAAGGCAGTTGGTAAGTGAGTCACACCCTGTTTTACCATCTTTTTGCCACGGTTGTTAAATGAATAAATACAGGGTTAAACAAAACATGCAGTTTTGTTAGCAAATCCAGCTCCCCCCTCCCTTGACTTTGCTTGTTGAAAGCTGACTGGAAAGGTCGCAAATGATAATCACATGACTTGGGATACTGCAATTGTTGTAAATACATGCCAGTTGCCAAATTCCCAAAGTTTGATCGAATGACTTTGGGGATGCTGCAACAATCATCTGTGTGAAAACTGGTCATAAGTCATTTTTTCCAATGCCGTTGTAACTTTGAGCCGTCATTAAATGAATGATTATAAATTGAGGACTACCTATAAAGATTTAGTGGAAAGTGTCATTCTAATTAAATACATTTTGAAAAATGCCAGTGAACTATAAAAGATCAACTTAAGACCAGATGTTCAGAAAGGAGGATTGGAAAACCACAGGCCATTTACCGGTAACTTCTGTGCTGGGCAAATTATCAGAACAGACTGTCAAGGCCTGCATCTATGAGCACAGGGAAAAGAATGCCCACATTATCAGGCATCCTATGACAGAGTTACTACTTAGAAAAACCAAAGGAATGCTGTGCACATAGCATAACCTGATCTCAGTAAAAGGCCAGGGAGTCTCATATGATGGTCTTGTGAAAACATGGATAAAGTGGGCTTGAGTGATTCAGTACATTCACGGCTGGTTGAACAAGTTCACCCAATGGCTTCTTATAAAATGGTTGTGTATCAAGTGATGTTCCTGGGGCTCATCTTCTGCCTTGTGCTAATCAAAAGAATTGGGACTCATTTGGGGAACTGAATTAAATGTACAGATAATTGTCAAGCTAGGGGAGCTGATTAACACCTTAAGGGACACCTTTGTTTATCTAAATTTACAAGGCCACCCAATTCATAACAACTCACAATGATATTAACAGAGTTGAACGTTAATGTGGCAAGAATAGGTGCATCAGAAAAGGAAAACAAAGACAAGAAATAACAGTACAGGATTGAGGAGATCTCATGTAATGCATGAGTGAAGAATTTAGAGGTCTTACTGGATAACTAAACATATGGGTGCACCAGGCCAATGGACCCATAGAATGCAGCAATAGAAGCATTAATTCAAAATAATGGGACCTAATTGCTCAATTGTACTTTGTAGGGATCAAATCACCCTTGGATTATTATATCCAATTCTGGTATTGCACTGAGGTGGTCCAAGAAGTCAAGATAGTAACCACAACCATGTGTTTGAACCCCAGGCCCTTTTTATGTTGCAGATATCCCTGAGCTGGAGCAAAAAATTTACTAGGAATAATAAGGGTTATAGAAATAAAGTATTATGAGAAACTAGGGATGTTTGCTTGACTACACATTTGAAATGAGGTAGAAAACAGGAATCACATCTACAGACCAGTCCTAATGGCTGTGTTCAGATAACTCATTTTGATCATTGTGTTTTCAGTTAACAATATCAAATTCCTGCCCTATAAAACAGAATTCCTCCTGGAGATTGAGATGTCCCTGATCCTGCTTGCCTGACTTATGTAAGGTGCTAAGGACCTAGTTTTCTCCCCCAGGTGTTGGGTCAGAAGGTCTTGTGAACCTGTCAAGATTTATTGTTTTGTTGAATTGCTTGCTTTATTATTTTCTATATTTTATTTTTGTAGGAATATTTGTCATTTAAATGACATACTTCCTTGAGTTGCATGTCAAGTGGGGAACCATAAAATATATCAGATTTCTTTGCTGCCTATTTTGGCTTGAAGGAACTCTAGGCAGCTTACAACCTTAAAAACTATAAAACAGAAATATTTCTAGAAAACAATAAAATAGAATTACAATCAAATGTTCATGGTTCATCGTATTGTAAAAATCCATCCATTCTCATCAATGGATAGCTATCTGCAAGCAAACTTAAGGAGTCTGTTAGCAAAGAGAATGGTATAATGTTGAAGAAACAAAAGTGCCTCTCCCTTTTATATCATATAGTTGAATTAATGGCATACACAGTAAGTATCGGTGCTACCTTATAGTTACTGGCATCCTTCCTTGCATTTTTTTTCCAACTGTCCAGTTGATAGCCCTATGCCTTGGGGGGAAGAATTTGGGGGCTGGAAAACAAGTGCAGAACTTCTCGATGAATCTATTGGCCAATCTTTTTCACATATGCGGTCCCAAATCAAACCCAAACCCAGGTAAGAGCCAGAAGTAGTTCTTAGTATAACACTACACCAAATGCTTCAATATGGAAAATGTTAATAGTTTATTTCTGGCTATAGATGCTGAAGAAGGTAATATACCATATGCAAGCAAACAAAAAATATGGTCCCATTATGCTTAGTAGTAAGAATATACTTCCTTATATTGCTTATATATATTGCTAAACATTTCCAAACTTCTGCTCTTCTAAATAGACATTTTGGAATTTGAAACACGGGCAGAAGAAAGTTGGGGAAATTTCATATGTCAGTGTTTTTCAAACTTGGCAACTTTAAGATGTGTGGATCTCAACTCCTGCTGGCTGGAGAAATCTTGGAATTGAAATCCACACATGTTAAAGTTGCCAAGTTTGAAAAACACTGATGAGTGTCCATCACCCATGTAAAAGATGTCCCCAAAACGCATAATGGCATGTACATACATCATTATGTATTTGACATAATACATGCATTTGGCTGAAAAATATGCAACTGTATGTGGAAAATTATCATTAGTTACTGGGTTAGTTTCAAAGTAAGCTACCATTGGTTCTCATTGATTGGTGGAAACAAAGTTGGAAAATCAGTTTATTATGTATATAGTATATGTTAGATGCACATTAAGTTACAAACACATATTTACATATTTAGATAGATACATATAGATACACATAGATACATATTTAGCCAACTGCTACTATACTCCTATAATCTTACTACTCATAGGGCTGATTTTCTCATATCCAGAGAGATTTATATAGGTCACTTTACACTTGGTAATTATTACTGCATTATTTATTTATTATTGATTGGTTCGATTTATATGGGTAATTTAAGTTCAGATCAAAAATATTACTATTTTTCACTTAAGTCCAATCTTCCAGATGTCTTGAGTCTGTATCTTCTAAATTCCCTGCTAGCACGACCCCCACAATTGCAATCCTGATTCCTCTGGTTTGGGAAATTTAATTTATATAAATTATGGCTTTTAATTAAATTAAGTGCATTGAAATCATGGTTTCATCATCCATTCTTTTTCCACTAAGGACATTCTCCCGCCAAAGATTGCCCAATCAGATGCTTTTTTCTTATACACAGAAGATCACAGAAGGCATGGAACCAGGTAAGCCTTCTGAACTGAGAGACATAAACTGCATGACTGATTTTTCATCTCCAGAGAACTAGCTATGGCTTTTAACTAGCTTCCATCTCTCTCTTCAGATGTAACTTTGGACTGTTTGGGCTATGAATGGGAACTTCACCGAATGTATTTATTTAAATCCCACGTCCTTTCACAACTTCTTGCTGAAGCAGAACAGAATAGCTACTCCCCAAACACAAGAAGCGTATTGAAATCTAGAAAAGGTATTGGTAGATGTTCCAAAATTTATTTTTATATGTCTATAGAAGTGTTTAAGACACTGAGGTCTTAATATATGGCATCTTCTACTTTACTGGATTCACAATGGTTTACAGCCAGAAAATTTCATGGAGACTTACTGACTCTAAGTCATAAATCTATAGACATATTTTCCAGCTGGAATCAGAGTTAAATTAGGGTTGGTATTTGCCTATAGTATTTTTACATTTCTCCCTCTTCTATATGAGCAATCAAGATGTTCTAAGATAGAAAATCTTAGAAAATAGTTTAGTTCTTTGAAAATAACAATTAATGAATTAATAATTAATAAATTACTATTTAATTATTTATTAATTAATATTAATTAATAAATTAATAACAAACTATCATGAGATATTAAGCTGTTAGTATATTAGTGGGCAAAATGTATTAATGAAAAATAAATGATTTAGACATTTTTCTCTGTTTACTGTTGCCTTGAATAGGCCAAGTGTGCTGCCTTTTTATAGTGTCGTACTTCCTGTGTTTCCAATGTTTTTGGCAGAAACCCGTTGTTATAAGTGCTGTCTACTAACTGGTCATAAGCCTGATGAATTCTGCCAACAGAAGGAAAAATTGCCAAAAGTCACTATTGCTCTGAATATTACTGATCAAGATGTCACTCGGTTTGGTAATACAAACTATCTTACTCTATAAATTGACTGTTTGCCATAGATATTAAGATGTTTCACAGGCCAGTATCAGGGAAAAGGTTATATCTCTCATTGTAGTATACTGGTTAGTAATTTTTAAATCTTTTCCCACTTCATCTTCTAGAGCCTTTTAAAACTAATTTTAAAAAAAACTTAAAAAAAATAATAAATGCAGGTAGTCCTCAACTTATGACCACAATTGAGCCTAAAATTTCTGTTGTTAAACAAGACAGTTGCTAAGTGAGTTTCACCTCATTTTACAACCTTTCTTGCCCCAGTTGTTAAGTGAATCACTGCAATTATTAAGCTAGTAACAGAATTTTAAAGAGAATCTGGCTTCCCCATTGACTTTGCTTGTCAGAAGGTTGCAAAACGGGATCACGTGACTTCGGAACACTGCAGCTGTCATAAATACTTGTTAGTTGCCAAGCAGCTGAATTTTGATCATATGACCATGGGGATGCTGTAACGGTCATAAGTATGAAAAATGTTCATAAATCGCTTTTTTCAGTGATGACGTAACTTCAAATGGTCACTAAATGAACTGTTGTAAATTGAGGACTACCTGTATCTGGAAGCAAAAAAAAAATCCCATCTGTGATCATTAACTTTGCTGGTTACATGGATACAGCTTTAATATGACTCCCCCATCTCTATCCTGATGACAAACATATGAGACTAATAATAACTGGAAAGGAATTGACTCAATCTGTTCCTTAGACTTCTTGCATGGAAACACCTATACTGAGCTTAGGGCCTACTTGTATTTTATGTCTTGCAACAGTCTGTACTGTTTTGTGTTCCCTAGATATCAAAAATGCTGAGCAATCCTTTTAAAAATCTACTTTGATCCAGAATGCATGGGTGACTGAGAAAAGCATTCTTGGTATCCATCTATTCAGAGGCGGGTTTCAAAACCTGTTGCTACCAATTTCCTCGTGGGTGTACGTGTGCTCACACACATGTGCAATGCTTCTGCGCATGCGCAGAAGCGTCCGGGTGGGTAGGCGGAGCCTACTCCTGCTGCCGCTACCAGTTCGCCCGATCTGGGTGAACGGGGAGCAACCCATTATTGCTTAACTGGTAGCAACCCATCTATTGTTTAAAATCATTGGTGATGGGAGCAACTAATGTGTGTATAGTGATAGTTCATTAGTAATTTCAAAAGTGCTTTTTCTTCCAAAAAGCAACTGGACTGTCTTGGTTTTTTTTTTTGAAAACATTTCACTTTTCATCCAAAAGCTTCACCAGTTCTTTTTTCAAAGAAAAAAACCCAAGAAAGTCCTGTTGCCTTTTGAAGGGGGAAAAAAACACCAGTTTTAAGACAACCATGATCTGGATGATTGAGAATCTCCATGGACATTGTATAGTAATCTGAGTAAATATTCTGTTCAGGAGCAGGGGTAATGCTGACATCTTATTATATTTATAACCATGTGTTTATTGGCATATTCTGTTGATACAATGAAGCCTTTGCTGTTGCACTCAAGAACATGTACAATTCTGAATCAGAAGTGAATGAAGAAGATGTTCTAGGAATTCTGGCTGCAGCGGAAGTGTTACAGTTCCCTAGCCTTTTCCAAAAGTAAGTAGATTATGACATACTGTAATATAATTTGCTTGAGATTTGGGGAGTGAGTTATGCCAAGGCACTCCTCTTATTACAAAAATGTTCTGAGTGGGATGTCAGCTTTCATCAGCCAAAGTCTATCCCAAACTGTGTTTTAAACAATATTTATTGTTTAAATAATATTTAAATGCCAAGGGTAATTAGGTCAGTAATTGAAAACTTGTGGCTTCCTAAATTTTGATGAACTTTTATCTACCAGCACAGAAGATAAAAGAGAAATTCAGCAATATTTTATTTATTTATTTGATTTTTATCCCACCTTCATTACTTTAGAAGTACTTTAAGGGAACAAACATGTACAGTACTTCTTCCTCTTCCTGTTTTCCCCACAACAAAAACCCTGTGAGGAATGTTGGGCCAAGAGAGTGACTGGCCCAAAATCATCCAGCTGACTTTTGTGATGAAAGCAGGGCTGATCTCTTGGTTTCTAGGCCAGCACCGTCACCAAGCTGAGTCTCTACAAGGAAACAGCCATCAGATGCATTTTAGCCTCAGAATTTCTTTAGCCACCCAGTGGGAAATTCTGGAAGTGTGTCTCAGTGATTCTTCAGAGAATCATCTTGAAGACGATTGCAGAATTCCGTATAGGAGAACTGTAGATTCCCCATACCTGATCTAAACTATTGTTTCTCTAGTAATATTGTAAAGCAGATGTCACAGACTTCACTAAACCTGCAGGCTTTCAAATATGTTCAAAGTTATCTCTCATAACTTCTAACCACAATGGAGTACCACCAATGATCATGCTCCTATAATTCTTTTGGGATTAAGAGATATCCGACACATTTGAATGCTTCCAGGTTGGAGAAAGCTCATGTTCTCTGCCAGTCTGGAAACATTGAATGAATTATCTAAGTTGTATAGTTTTAAATGTGCTTTATAAAATTTGACTCTAAAATTGACTTCCTTATTTTGGAAAAAAAATCAGTAGTTAAACAAATTTTTAAAACATTGGTGGACTTCTGCTTTAAATTGCTAGAGAAGTGGTAAGATGAATGAACATTCACTGACAGGCAATCTTAAACTTGCAAGTTTCCCCATTTATGCAAAAACATTTTGTGATGAAACAATGGTGGTGCCTGGTGCACAATTCTTCTGTCTTCTCTCTTTCATAAGATAAACTTGAAAGTAGGTGCATCGTGTAGAATGATAGTTGAAAGACTGGGTAATTAAGTCTTGAAAAAAAATGTTAACAATTATTTTAGATGGTGAAAAACATTGTATCAGGTTTCTACTGTAGTATTCGGGCAAAATTTTTAAAACACGTCCATGGATGTTTCACCATCATAAAGTTGCTATTTATTTTGATATAAATAATTGTTTTTCCGTTGCTTGGGGATTTTAATAAAGGGAACAGGAAGGAATTATTGTTTAATTTCTGTCTTGATGTGATGTCTTGGGTTAATTTCTCTTTCCCCTTAAATTTTGTTTTAAAGACACAGAATATTTTGATTTCCCTTCATTCCTGTCTTGTCCCTAAATGACCTTTATAAAAAATTCAGACAAGTTGGCCAGCAATTCTAAATAACTACTTTTTGCCAAGAGACTACAAAGAACTCCAGAGGAGCCATTTTTATTTGTCTGACTGGACTGGGGGTGAGGGAGGGAGAGACCAGCCTTACTCGTCCCACAGAGAGATAAAGTATTTGATCGAAAAGCAAACCATGTTGTCCCTGAGAGAATTGTATAATTAAACATGAGGTAAACAAATATTGTTTCCCCGCAACAGTAGTCTGCTATGCCCCTTGAGAGGATAAATGTTGCAGAGTGAGCTAGGCTAAACTGGGTATGAAGAGAAAGGATTCAACATGATTCTCTGAAGAATCACTGAAACACACACCAGAATTTCCCACCCAGGGGCTAAAGAAATTCTGTGACTTGCAAAAATGCATCTGGTTTGCTTATAAAGAGCCAAAGGCTAGAAAGATTACTTGTATTTCTCATTTCCTTTTTTTCGTTCTCCTCTTAACTCTCTTCTTGCTTATAGCTCAATCTTTTCTGCCCAGGTGCATCCAAGTCATGAGAAGAAGCATCTGTCCTACCAATGTCTGTAGGTATTATACTGCAGGCTGCAAGGTGAGCTGCAAATTTAATGGTTTTTCTTTTAAGTAGTAAGCGAATATATATTAGTCTTAACAGGCACATTTTGCTTTCCTTATATTTGTGCAAGTTTTTGTGTAGTTGTGATGATGATCTGAAACAATTAGGTAAATAAATTGTAAATAAATAAATAGGTAATTAGAACTAGCTTAGGTAGACATCATGTTTACCTAAGCTAGACAATTAAAATGTCTTGCGTAGCTTCTTCTCTGGTAATATTGTACTACTAACTAGAGCATACAAAACATTTGCTAGACCAATTCTCGAATACAGCTCATCTGTCTGGAACCTGCACGGCATATCAGATGTAAATATAATTGAGAGAGTCCAGGGATATTTTATGGGAAGAGTCCTCCATTCCTCTACCCACAATAAAATACCTTATGCCACCAGACTTCAAATTTTGGGCTTAGACAACTTAGAACTACACCAACTTTGGTCTGACCTAAGCGTAGTACATAAAATTATCTGCCACAATGTCCTACCTGTCAATGACTACTTCAGTTCAACCACAACAATACACAAGCACACAATAGATACAAACTTAAAGTGAATCGCTTCAAACTTGATTGCAGAAAATATGACTTCAGTAACAGAGTGGTCAATGCCTGGAATGCACTACCTGACTCTGTGGTTTCTTCCCCAAACCCGCAAAATTTTAACCTTAAACTGTCTACTGTTGACCTCATCCAGTGGTGAAATCCAAATTTTTTTTACTACCGGTTCTGTAAGCGTGGCTTGGTGGATGTGGTGTGGCTTGGTGGGCATGGCTTGGTGGGTATGGCAGGGGAAGGATACGGCAAAATCTCCATTCCCACCCCACTCCAGGGGAAGGATACTGCAAAATCCCCATTCCCTCCCTACTCCTGGCAGAAGGATATTGCAAAATCTCCATTCCCATCCCACTCTGGGGCCAGCCAGAGGTGTGGTATTTGCCAGTTCTCCGAACTACCCAAAATTTCCGCTACCGATTCTCCGAACTACTCAAAATGTCCGCTACCAGTTCTCTATAACCTGTCAGAACCTGCTGGATTTCACCCCTGACCTCACCCCATTCCTAAAAGGTCTGTAAGGGGCATGCATAAGTGCACCAGCATGTCTACCGTCCCTGCCCTAATATTCCTTTTTATTTTTACTCTTACTCTTTTCATGTATTCAAATTCTGTTTATACTTTTACCTGTTGTCTTATATATGCTTGACAAATAAATAAATAATAAATAAATAAATAAACTGATTTCTCTACTTCATTTCCCCCCCTCCTTCTTCATCAGTTGGTTGCCTCTTACTGGGTTTTAATGAAACTTGCACCCATCTGTTCAATGAACAGATTCTTTACTTGTAACAGATCCTTTACTTGTTCAAGAAGGAGGTTTCTGGAAACAGTTTTTGAATAAATTGGGTGTATCTCCAGGATGGAAACCAACCAGTTCTGCAGATCTCTGGTTGTAGTGTTGATCTTCGAATTCTTTAGAAATTGAAAACAAAAGATATTTTTCACATACAGTACAGAAACTTAGCGCAAACTCAACAAAGATCTGCAAATCTTCCTGGGTGCAATTCTAAATGTCTTAGTTGCACTTTCATTTTATAACATTAGATTTGGAACTGTTAAAATTTCATCCAAAAAGAAATGAATGTTCTTTTTTTGTCTCCACTCAAATGTAGATTCAGTGGTTTAATTTCCAGTTTCTGCCACAAGATGGTTCTAGAGTTCAGAGTTTCATTAACTTCTCTTTTTCTCCCCATTTTGGAAACAGTATAAGCAACCTTCCTTGATCACTATCTGTGAAAGATGGACTGAGGTAAACCTTGTCCCACAGCTTGGCTCACAGATATGTCTGCGGAACCTGCCACTGGAGCTGCTACAGAAAGTGCTTAAATCTCCAAGGTCAGAAAGTACTTAGTTAAAAAGAGGGGTTCCTGAATGCAGGCGTGGCCTTCTTAGATTGAGTAAAGGTCCATCAAGATAACATAAGAAAGGTTGCAAGTTGTTCCAGTAAATCTCCCCTGCCTGGCAGCAACTACCCCCAGGCCTGAAATCACTTGTGCATGCTGATGCAAGAACCTATAGACACATCCCCACCCGACAGCAAGCCCCCCCACCCCCAGGCCTAAAATTATGCATAGCTTCTCATGCACAGTCTGGCATCCAGAAATAGCCACCCTGGACCTGAAATTGTTAAACTGGGCATGACTTACCTGCCTGCTGACCTGGTGCAAGCCACCTTGGACTTACAACTTCCTATCAACTTCCCTTCTGACTTTGATTATTAAAACCTGGCGGCTCACTTAGTGACCCATTATCCTCAAGGAACGGCACTGGGGACTGCTGGGATTGCCATCACTAAGCAACGCAGTCATGTGACATTAAGCCTTTCAACCACATTGCCTACCAGTGGAAATTCTGGTCCTAATTATCATCATCATTAATCAAGGACTACATTGTAATGGAGTAAAATGCAAGCACTGTTTTAGCAAATATAAAATAGCAGGCGTTGCAGCATAAAATGCAAAGAACCCGTGTGTGTTAATCTTCCCTTAGCAGAGATATCATAATTATATAGGTAGCTGTTAACTACCTTACTTGTAAAGATGTAGAGATTAAGGAGAAAGGAGGTACAGCAGAGTCAAACTGGTCCCGCTAGCTAGACCAGACTTAAGAAATCAACTCAACAGGAAGGCTACCTTTATCCATATTACTGTGTTTCCCTGAAAAGAAGACCTTCTTGGATAAAAAGCCCTCCCCTGAAAATAAGCCCTCCCCCAAAATATTTAAGCACATGTGTAGCTGGTCCCCACCATTTCCTCTGGTTAGGGTTAGGAAGACAGAGCTGGAAATCAGATAAGACGGCAAGAGGGGCCCTGTCTTGCTTCATGTGCCCCTAAATAATAAGACCTCCCCGAAAATAAGGCCAAGCATTTATTTCAGGGTTCAAAAAAATATAAGACAGGGCCTTATTTTCGGGGAAACATAGTAGCTATATTAAATGGAACCTTTCAAATCTGAATATTATGATCTGATTCAGCAGGTAATGGTTGAATCTGATCATTGTGAATAGTGAAGCTAGGCGGACTAAATGGTCTTGTAGTCCCACTTACCATGCATATTTCTTGGAAATATTTGTTGTTGTTGTAGAAAAAGTAACATTAAAAAAGTGAACATCTGCCAATTGCCTCCACCTTTCAATATATTCTATTTTTCCTGAGTTTATAAGATTGGAGCTTCATAATAAGAAATGAAAATTGACCCAGGGCAGAAAAAGAGAAATGAATGATCAGTGTACAAGTATCCATTTTAGCTTTCTTCCCACTTCCCCAAGTGATTAGGTAGCATGGGTCTTGAATATACCTTTCCAGACAAAAGTGTTGGTCAGCTGGGGAGCTATATGTAGCAGGCAAGTGACAGGTCTTCCAGCTCTATTTGCTCAAATTCTCCATTTTCCTACTGAGTTACAGTATATAGCCAAACTATTTCATTTCCACTCTGGTGCTGAAAGTTGCCCACATTTTCCACACTTCTAATCTTTGAACAGACTCTTGTCTTGTCTGAGCCTTTCATTAATCTTCTCGGAAAGCAATTAGCTTCCTCCCCCAAAGTTTTAAGAGCTGTTCTTTTCAAATTTCCTTGTTGGTTTTCACAAAAGCCTCTGTCTTCTTGGGTTATGTAATATTAGTCTGGCCATTTCTCAGCCTCATCTCCTCCCTGAAAAGTCTTCTTTATGGGTAGGATGAGGGCCAAGAAGATAATATTTCATCAGATTAGTTTAGGAAGCAACTAGTTGCCAAGACTTGTCTTGATTAGACAGTAGATATTATACTAGCAATCCAGTGGAGATTCTTATTAAAAATGCAGGAAATAGCAATAGCACTTAGACTTATATACCACAGCCCTCTCTAAGCAGTTTACAGAGCCAGCATGTTGCCCCCAACAATCTGAGTCCTTTTTTTATCTCAGAAGATGGAAGGCTGAGTCAACCTTGAGCCTCTCAGAATTGGAGTGAGCAGTGAGTTAGCCTGCAGTACTGCATTCTAACCACTGCGCCACCGCATGTATAGAGAATATGCATCAGTAAATGAAATTATGTTTTGCTTTTACAACAAAGTCATATCTGACTGCTAATGTGTTGAAAATATTTTTATAGATTAGAAGTAATCATCATAATATTCTAGACCAGTATTTCTCAACCATGGCAACTTTAAGATGGGTGGACTTCAGCTTTCAGAATTACTGGCTACAGAATTCTGGGACTTGAAGTCCACCCATCGTAAACTGTCAAAGTCAAGAAACACTGATCTAGATTTTCGGTTGGGCTTTCACATTTAAACTGCAACATAATCAAAATTCTCTGGACTTCTTCCTTGTTAAAGTTGGTGCCTGTACCTACTGAAAACTGAAATGGCATTGATGTTAATCTTAACTGCACTATTTCAAAGGTTAAAATATTTTTTTAAAAAAAATATACAAGTTTGTGCCTTTGGCTGCTATTAAACTTGGCATTTTGCAAACACTGGTCCATATCATTTGCTGTTTTTGGAATTACAATCCTTATCTGCCATTATCCACATTAATTAATATGCTGAAATATATTACATGTATTTGAAGAGAATTTTTGAAAACACGATTAAAGGGAAATACTCTAAAATTAAATGTTTTTGCTATGTCTTAAAATGACTGCTCTTTAAAAAAAAGTTAGAATAGAATAGAATTTTATATTGGCCAAGTGTGATTGGACACACAAGGAATTTGTCTTGGTGCATATGCTCTCAGTGTACATAAAAGAAAAGAGACATTCATCAAGAATCATAAGGTACAACACTTAATGATAATATATAATAATAAAAAATAATAATAAAAAAGTTTACTTCAAAATGTAACTAATTGATTAATATTTCCTCTTTTGCCAGGTTGTTTACCATCAATGAATTCTACCTCTTGAGAACTGCACTATACTGGGTATTCCTGCAGCAAAATCCCAAAATTCAGATAATCCCATCTTATAATACTATCCTCACATATTTTAGCAGGTATACTTTTGTTCCATGGATCATAACCCTCCTCTAAAGCAGTCTTGGGCTTAGGCCTGATTTCCTTCAGCTCTCAGCCTAAATTCAAAATTCTTCTGCTACCAAGCTGTCATTTGGCTAATTGCAGGAGTTCTAGCCTATTGCAAGTAGAAAAGGAGAGATGGACATGGAAAAGGATGTGGGGAGCCTTCTTTAAGCCACACCCACTATGTAATGATATGAGATTCCCAGATCCAACGTGGTCTTCAACAGAGGAAGTTCTAAATGGGCTACATTATTATATTTCTCAAAAGTTCTATGGTATCGATTGGGCTATGAAAGAGAGCTGGTCTCAGATAAATGACTAATAAGAGTTGGAAGGTGCCCATCAGGCCATCCCTGGCTCCCTGCAGAAATCTCCCCTTATGTTTTACAGCTGAACCTATGTCCTTCCGGTCCCAGTCAAACATAATATAAAGAATTAACAGTCCCTTAAACTGCATCTGCTGCTGCTAAGGCAGAAAGCCAGCAGGTCATCCTTTTCATGTCCTTTCCTGACCCAAACAGAATTCCAAGCAGTGAGCCAAGTTCATGAAAGATTTCCAGCCTGGCTTGTGAAATATACTTTTTGTGGTTTAGGTTGATTTCTTTTAAAAGACTGTCTTAACACTGCTGGTGCTATCCCATGAACCATTCTTTCCTGTGAGTCATGGACCACTATAACGAAATCACTGTCAGAATCAAAAGAGAGTTCCCATGCCTGGAATATCAAATGCTCTTCTTTTATATCCCTCCCCCCCATCCCCTCCAGCCCTGCCTTTTTCACCAAGTGATAGGAATGAGCTGAAGGCCTAGATGAATCATTGTTTATTAGCTTGACCTGAGAAGCACTCGTTCTATCAAAAGATTTCCGAAAATAAGGGCGTTTGCAGCTAGGCACATGTGCAGGATGAATGTGATGCATAAATGCATTCTTCTACAGGTTACATTTAATATAATGTACATGATACAGTAAGATGATGTGGTTAAGCAATCTGCGTTTCAAAGGCAATTGCCTTTCAAAATAGCTGATTAATTGACCAGAAATCCATCCTTTTAATCATCTCATTTAAGCTTATTGAATTTTAAATAGTCTTGACATTTACAGATTTGTATTCTGTCAGTTTAATATAATCTTCTGTAACATGCTTCAGTTTGAAATAGCTGAAAAGGGGATAAATAGATCATGTAACATTTATTTATTAAGCCATGTGGAAATATATACATGTAGACAGAACTTTAGAAGTTTATTCTTTTGCTAATCATCTAGGTTTTGCTGAAATCCCATCATGTCAACCAAAATTAAGCAAATTTAACAGGAAACAAACCAATAGAGACAAAGGTATGAAAATAGGACCCATTAAAATTCCCCTAGCATGCTAAACATGCTACTCAAGAGTAAATCTAATGGCTTTTAATCTGGCAGTGATTCCTATTTATTTTAATGCAACTCCCAGACATAGATACCATATTGAAACCAGAGTTATACATGAGTAAATCCAATGACTGCAGCTGATTAAAAATGGATTATTTCAAAATCCATCATCATGAACATTTTCTTGCCCTGCCAAAAAGGTCTGATTTTCATTCTCAGAATGCTTTTTGTTCTTGCTTTATTGTAAGGGATTAGAAGGCGCTATTTGTGTGTCTATTTTGGCAACATTCCCCCCCCCCATCATTGGTTTCACACAGTTCTGAAAAGTGTCCCATTGGAGGGGTTGTCTTGAATGACATCCTAGAGATCTTATTCTAATAGCCCTTGAGGCCATGATCAGCAAGCAAAAATTCACGTACTCTGGTCTTACAAGACAAGTGGATGATGGGAAAACTGACTCTGCTTGACAAGGTTGAAAAGCAGAAAAGAGAGGAAATCAGTGGATAACACAGGTCTGATGAGATCATTCAAGTATGATTGAACCAATCCCACCAGGACTGGTTGTAATAATAGACATTTGTCCATTTAGTCATCAGGGACCAGGCATAACTTACCTAAATAATGAAGTGGTTATGGAAAGGACCCCACAGTCCCTTGGAAAGATAAATACATGATGAAGAACAAAACACAAATATTCTTTCCCTTCCCTCCAAGCAAGATAAATCCTATCTCACCCTTAATGATGCTAAAATTAATTTCTGTCTCATCAATTTGCACGAGGATGGTTGAAATTTTTGGCATAGCATTTACACTTAGACATCTTTTGGATATGGCTGATACATATTGAGACTGGAGTGTCTTAAAAACCATACTATTACTATATGCCATTCAACCCTTCCTAAAAGGTTATCCTGAGAATAATCAGGTGGCTTTTTGTTTATTACCTGTTATTCTTGTGCATATTAGGCGCGAATGCTTCAAGCACAGTTTTCTGTGAGCACAAAAAAAGTCTGGCAAAGAGAATTGCAGAATCAACTCAAGGTATTTTTGGCTTGGGTTGCCATAGACAAAGAGAAAAAGCAGATGTACAAAGCTTTACATTGTTTAGCAGCCACGTGAGATACCAAGTAGCTTTCTGCTACTTTATAACAGTTCCTTACACAGTTCATGGGAACAGCTGCAAGAGATTTTTTGCGCTGGAAATCTCAGCCAATTCCCAGTTACTGGCCAGTTTCCAAAGAACCATACAACTGAACTCATTCCAGAGTGCCTAAAGGAGGTCTGTGTTTGCATTTCTTTCCAACAGAAGCCTCCTCTGCCACATCACAGCTCTATTTTAAAACCCAGCAGAGTTCAAAGTTAATGTTCAGCATGACTCTGAGAACATAGGAAGAGTTCTTCTAAGTCAAAGCCAAAGTCCATTTAATGCAGCATCCTGTTTCCAGCACTAGCTAGCCAACTGTTTCTACAATGCCATCTCTGTTACAGTATATGTCCCAGCTATTGAGTAGCCTGCCCGCCTTCTGTAGTCCGTTTCCTGTTTCCAGGCCATTTAAAGATTATTTTTCAATCATTCGTTAGCAGTATCTTCATCAAACTACAATGACACAGAGAAGGTATTACTGAATATTTACATGCCGACATGTAATATAAGGGAGTAGGTATTTGTGTAATGATGATCCCTGTCATCACTCACTCAATTGAATTCCATGAGCCTTGTATTCCTTCTTTGTATTTCTTAATGTCTGCTTTGTTGGATTTCTCTGATATCTTGACAATTGAATTATTCACAATCAATTGAAAAAAGGTATTGAACAGAGTGTCTAAAATACTTTAAATCTATATTCTGCAAATACAGTGACTAGTGCAGGGGTCTTCAACCTTGGCAACTTTAAGACTTGTGGGACTTCAACTGGCCGAGGAACTCTGGGAGTTGAAGTCCACAAGTCTTAAAGTTGCCAAGGTTGGAGACCCCTGGACTAGTGTATTACTAATTAGGACTTGGTTGCAAAGCCAGTTTCCTAGTTTTAAAAACAACTGCACTGAAGCACTGATTTTAGGACTATTTCTTGATCTACTTCAAGGTACTCATAGAAAGGAAAAAGAATGAAACTTCCAGCTGTACAAAAGAAAAGAACTTGCATATTTATGACTTCATTCTAAACCAGAGGGGGGAAACGATGGTACCTTTATGACTTGTGGATTTCAACTCCCAGGGTCCAGGCTCAGGAATTCTGGGAGTTGAAGTCCACAAGTCATAAAAGGGCCATCATTCTCCACCCCTGTTCTAAATCTTAGCTTGATCTCAAATTCTCATATCTCATCAACTGTTTTTCAAAAGCAAAAATGGATTTAGCTAGAAAGCACAAGGTAGATTCATATATCATGCTAAGCTAAAATATGCCCTGCTGGTTTTGGTTTAGCTGCCATACAGGTGTGATTTAACCCTCTGTACAAATTAAGATTAAGCAAAGCATGACTTTGAACTCAGCCTCTGTGAGCTAAAGCTATGGACCCTAAGTCCAAAAAGTTTATCAATCCCTGATCTACAATTTCACAATATATCCTCATTCCAAAATTTACCAACTGCCATGATTGGAATGTGCATCTGTATGTCTGTGAGAGAAGATTCATTCTTCTCCAAAAAGCAAAGTTTGAATCCAAGCTCATATGTACATGTTCTCATTTGTCTTTTTAAAAATACATTGATTAATTATCAATGTTAAACATATTTATTACCAATATTTGTATGCGATAATGGAGAAAAGGTGAGAAGTTGGCACATACTGTATTCTAGAAAGCGAACGTCTGAGCAGAAATAAATTAAAATGGTTAGTCAAATATGTTGGCAGAACTCAGGAAAATATTTTTCCAAAATTATGAAGTGAAACATGTTGTATTTAAATAATGAGTTAAATTCAGATAAGGGGCATTGTGATAATTTCAGTGAAGGCAGCTGGTTTCTATGCAAATCCTTTGGAACTGGAAATGAACTATTGTTTAAAGTAAAAGAAAACTATTTCTGAGTTCCTTTTAGCCTTTTGAAGTCAACTATAGCAACAGGCGGCTAATTTATTTCTGACCTTGTAATGACACATTGCATTTTCTTTTTCTTTTTCTTTTTTCTCTTGGTATTCAGAGAGCTTACTTCTGGATGCCTTGCATCTATAAAATAAAATATAAAAAGTGTTTGAAATGAATCAAGCAAAGTTGCAGATGAACTCCCCAAAAGTCACTGGATGAGATGAAGAGATTAACTATCTTCAGAGTTTCTTTTTGTGAATGGCTGCAGTTTTAGAAGTTCTGTTGATAACAGCTTAGTTGAAATAACATTGGAAGACATTTACTAACTAACTTTTAATTGAAATTGAAAGCAAGAGGCAGCAAAGATCAATAAGCAAAAGGGGACAGATATTTAAAAAGAAGACAAGCTGTGTACGTGAGAATTCATCCTAGAAACTCAGAGACTTTGGGTTGTAATCCTATATTCAGTTACTATGTCAGATGGCTTTTGAATCTACATCAGTGGTGGGTTCCTCCCGGTTCGGCCCGGTTCTCCCGAGCCAGTAGCGGTGACGATATGACATCACTGAACCGGTTCTGGCCCCCCATCCCCCACGCCCCCCCCACCCCCGCGTTATTCTTACCTTTTATTTGGCCCCATCCCCAACCTATTGCTGCCTCCTGAGTCTCAGTTGATGGCTAGAGGGGAAAAACTGTTTAAACTCTTGCCGCGGGGCTTCAAAGGGCCGCCCTACAGCTGATCAGTGTTAAAAGAAAACAAATGAGTAGACCAGTGCCTGCAAAAATAAATGGGTAGACCAGTGCCTGCAAAAATACATGAGTAGATCAGTGCCTGCAAAAATAAATGGGTAGACCAGTGCCTGCAAAAAATAAATGGGTAGATCGGTACAGCTCTGCAAGCAGTTAAAAGCCTGGTAGACCAGTACCTCTGCTAAATCCTAAATAATTGTCACATGACCATCAAGCCATGCCCACAAAATAAGCCACACCCACAGAACCAATAGTAAAAAAATTTAGAACCCACCCCTGATCTACATGTTAGTAGTGACATGTTTGAGGGAGGGATGCTAATAAACAGTGCAAAAGCAAATATTCTCAGTTTGATAGCTTTATATTCCCTTTCTCCCTTGCACTGGGCACTTGAAGTTGTCTGTCAGATCTTTGAGGCAGATCATATTAGGAAACAGACACCACAAGAAATAAGAGAATTCTTCATTACAGGCAGTCCTCAAAGTACGACCACAATTGAGCCTGAAATTTATGTTGCTAAGTGAGAAATTTGTTAAGTGAGTTTTGCCCCATTTTACAACTTTTCTTGTCGCGTTTGTTAAGTGAATCACTGCAGTTGTTAAATTAATAAGTAAATCTGGTTTCCCCATTGATTTTGCTTGTCAGAAGTTCGCAAAAGGGGATCATATGACTCTGGAACACTGCAACCGTCATAAATATGAGTCAGCTGTCAAGCATCCAAATGTAAATCACATGACCATGGGGATGCTGCAGCAGTCACAAGTGTGAAAAATGGTCATAAATCACTTTTTTTGGTGCTGTAACTTCGAATGGTCACTAAGCAAACTGTTGTAAGCTTATACCTGTATTGGGTATAAGCTATAATAACAGAATCTTGAAAGTGTGACCCAGTTTCTCTTCCCCTCCCTCTGCTACCAAAGAGAGTGAAGAAGGCAGGCCCAACTTGAGTTTCTTCACTCCTTTCTGTCTTTCCAGATGAAGTTCATATTTTACTAGCAGCTGCCTCAGATCTTGTTCAGGCCATACTCTTCTGCGCTACCTTATCAGAAAAAAAAATCAAGTGCATTCTTCAGATATTCTTCTGAAGATAGATTTTTTCCCCAGTGTTTTAAACACACTTTAGATAACAAGGCCATCTAGACATGTTTGTATGAAATAATGCAGAAAAAGACTTGCTTGAGGAATACTATAGAAATCTTTAACGCCACTATCTGAAAATTTTGATTTGTTTATCAAACCCTACCCAAGCGCTCATTGCTTAGATCAGTGAACTTTTGACAGCTTTGTTTAGTCTACCAACTCAGGGCTGCTCCTTTCTTCCGCGTTGGAAAAGCCTAAGTCTTGAAATGAGGTGCTCAGCTTTTATTAATCATTATATAACCACCTAAATGGCTGGTTAGATATTACCTGCAGTTAGGTATCGATTCAACCTTTGGAACAACCTTTGAGGGACCTTGCACATAATCTTTCAGAGTTTTATTACCAGATTAAGTGTTCCATATTGCGTGTCACTCCCAAAATAAATTTTGACACACCAGTCAATGTTATTACAGTATAGAAACACACGTGTAAATTCTGGCTGGGAATAAATACAACAATAAACTATGATTTACTATTGCATTGAAGAAAGAGTTGAGTTACTTACCTTTCCTTCTCTCCTTCTTTGATGCGACTCTGAGATCAAAGGCATTTGTTTCTGCTTTCAACTGACTAGGCAATGTTTAGTTTTGTAGTTTTCACAAGAAGCCAATTAATTGGATGAAGCTAGTAAGTCAGAGTTTAGATGTTATGTTTTTGTGTCATGCAGTCACTTTCGTTTCACTTTCCTTCCCACGGCCTCTTATTTAGGCAAGTTCTTACTCTTCTCAGAGTCAATCCTAGCATTAGATATAGTGAGGCATTCTAAGGGGACAATGAAAGGAGAACAAAACAGGGTAGACATTTCTCCCTCTAGCCTGAGCCCCCTCACCCACAACACCTACAGCAGATGCTCTAATATGTAGCCCTGAAAATTTCCTTGAAGAGCCATCTCTAGTCTAATATCTCATTGGGAGCAAAGCTCCTGGTCTCCTCAATCTTCAGAAAGTCCCAAGTGGTCTCTTTTCTGAAGTTGCAGCTAAAAGTCGGTCACATGTTTCTCTGAACAACATGCCTGAATGCTTTCGGATGGAGCTGATGGGGCTCAAGGTTGACTTAGCCTTCCAAGATCGGTAAAATGAGGACCCAGGTTGTTGGGGGCAATATGCTGACTCTGTAAACCTCTTAGAGAGGGCTGTAAGAGCACTATGAAGCGGTATATTCGTCTAAGTGCTATTGCTATTGCTATTATGTATTTGCCACAATCTGTATACAGTACAGTTCCCATGCCAAATTGAGGAGTGTAAAGATTTACAAACAAACAATTGCATTAAAAAAAAAAACAGTTACAGCACAATGAAGACTTTGAGGTTGATGTGCTTTCCCTGGCCATTGTGTTGCTGAAGGAAGAGCATCTATTCATCATCTCATTTGTAGTACCTTCCCTTGAGATAGTTGTGTCTGCGTGGCTGCTTTGAACTTTACTCTTCACTGCATTGCAAAGGCTTTCCATGAGGAAAATAATGTTTATAGAGTGAAATGTTTCAGGGTGCTGATAATGTTTGTGTTGGCATTGAGTAAAGTCTTTGGTCCATTATTCTGATTCTTTAGTTTACCCAAGACCTGTGCCTTCCTGGAAAGGGAAGAAGGACAGCAATACATGGCTATCTTTCAGTCTCTCCGTTTACATGGCATTACTTCAAGTAAGTATACTTTTTTCTATGATTATTCAGATAATCAGCTGTTCTAAATTTTGTGATGACAAAAAACAATATTTATTTGCAAACATCCATCAATTCAGTAAGATTTCTATCAACATACCATTTTACATGGTACTTTATAGAATAGGTTTCAAAGTATCCTACAGCTATATATGAAAGAAAACTATTATTATATAGCTGTATATACATACAAAAGGGGACACAGTGGCTAAGACGCTGAGCTTGTCGCTCAAAAGGTCGGCAGTTCAGCGGTTTGAATCCCTAGTGCCGCATAACAGGGTGAGCTCCTGTTACTTGTCCCAGCTTCTGCCAACCTAGCAGTTCAAAAGCACGTAAAAATGCAAGTAGAAAAATAGAGACCACCTTTGGTGGGAAAGTAACAGCGTCCTGTGCGCCTTTGGTGTTTAGTCATGCCAGCCACATGACCACGGAGATGTCTTCGGACAGTGCTGGCTCTTAGGCTTTGAAACAGAGATGAGCACCACCCCCTAGAGTCAGGTACAACTAGCACATATGTGCAAGGGGAACCTTTACCTTATACATACAAAATATATATTAAAATTCTATCTACATTTTCTCTGTTATACTTTTTCCATTTGGGAACAACTTGATTGAACTATATCTCCTGACGCCTTTATAAAGTAATGATTTTTTTCAATCAAGGAAAGGGATTTCAAGTTTTGTTCAGTCCCACTTCTACCTCCTAATTAATTTTCACGGACACATTAAAAAATAAAGGAAAAAGTAGTTATGGGAATTAACTCTTTGAATCTATAAAGTAGTCTTTAACCACTTGTTTCATGTTATCTAAGGAAATAGTAGAAACATACACTTGATACTTTAAAGTACAATACATTATAAAAAGGATAACATAACTGATGGTAAGTTTGGTAGGCTCCAGGCCCCCAAAACAGGTAAGTCCTGCTTTCTTTGACTTTATGTGGATGGGTCTATGACAAGCATAATGGCGTTGCTGGCTTTGACAGCATGGATCACTCATTTGACAGTGACCAAGCCCAGTCACATTGCTTTGACACACCCAAGTTCTCCAAGAGTTAATCAGTGCTGTGACAGTCGATCTAACCATGCAACATTCTGTTCTGATGACTGATCTCTCCTATACATTGCTTGCCATTCTATGCAACTATTTCATGTCAAGTCAGTGGAAAAGAAATCTGACACCATCTTTAGGTCTAACAACATTTTTACTGCTTTTCTTGATTTGATGCTCAGCAGAGGAGATGGAATTACAACTCCCAACCATTATGTTTATTTAGCAGTTCTCTTTCTCTCTCTCTGTCTCTCTCTCCTTCCCTCCCTCTCTTATCTTTCATTCTGGAAATCCAGACAACATCCACAACACTATCTCCTCCCACTTGTCTTCAAGAACTCAGTGAGAAAGAGAGTGATTGGCACATGTTAGCCAGTGAGGGCAAATCTACCCAGTACCAGCCTAGCTTTTAACCAGTTTATCAGATGTATATAATAGTTCCAGCTATGTGAAATGTATTGTTTACTTGTGGCAGAGGAACAAGTGAGTGAAAAGCTTCTTTATTCACATTCTTTAAAATAAACCACTCAGCTATATTGTAAGCTTCAACAATAATTGCTTTCATTTGCAGGCTGACGGTATATTTACTCCTTTCAACACAGAAGAAGCACTTAAAAGTCTCCACCTCATAGATTTCAGATGCATTCCTCTCCCCCACCCCCACCCCCACCCACCCCCACCCGCCTCCAAATCAATGTTTCTCAAACTTGGAAACTTGTAGAGTATGGACTTCAACTCCCAGAATTTCTCAGAATGCTTGCTAGGGAATTCTGGGAGTTGAGGTCCATACATCTTTTAAATGGCCAAAGTTGAGAAACACTGCCCTAAATGAAATTTCTAGTTAAGATTAGTGTGATATGTTGATGTCTGTATTGCAAAATTGAGCAAAGGCCTTTGAGGGAAAGGGCTCAAGCATTTTAAGGAGTGAAATGAATGTCCTATAATTCTGGAAGACTTAAGCCATCCATTCCCCAAATGAAAAACAGAGGCTCCAACTCTAGGAGTCTGAGGTAAATGACATTCTTTGCACCCTTGTGAGCAAATGATAAGAAATTATTTAGCAGCAGTTACACAAAAATGATTGCCAAATCTATTTTTCATTGTGTGAACATCCCATAAGCAGGTGAATGGGCCAACGTTGTAAAACTTGATTCTTGGCATGTTTGGCTGGCAGAAACATATGACAGGAAGAACTGCATGACTACAGACTGTGCAAAACTCCCAACTCTGACAAGTTTAGATTACGTGCATTGTTGACACAAGATTGCTTTTGTTTGACAATGTTTAATTCTGTTAACATTACAAGCAAAAGCAGGAATGAGCACTGGGTGAAAAGTGCAGTCAGAGTAATGAATTGCCTTAAGGTACTTCTAAACCAGGGTTTTATTGAGCAATTGTCAGGCTTCCTTCAGAGCATTTTAATTGGAAGGCAAAGACCATTTTTAAAAAGGCACCTGTGTCCTACACAAGAGCCTAAGTCACACAAAAAAACCTAACTAGTTAAATGTAATCAATCTTGGTATGTTAAGAAAGAGTTCCGTAGTACCACTACAGCTGAACCACTGGGTATAAATCCAGATTCCTAAGGTTTGGGAAGGGCTGCAGATAAATTTCATAATGACAGATTCATGATTGTAGCAGTGATGGAGGAGATAGTGACAGAGGAAGAAAAGTTTTTGTTTATAATTCACCAGATATAAATAATCAGATTGGTGTAGCTGCTGTAGCAGGATAGACAGGTAGGGCTAATGGGTGAGGATGAGTAGATAAAAGGCCAGGAGGCTGAACACTTTTGTGACTAGTCAGTGGGGAACAGGAAAAATAGTGCAGGAAGTGTTCAGAAGAGAAAATTAACTAATTAATTATTTCAAGTTTGATGCCACTAAACTCTGGGCGGTGCACGGCATAAAATAAAATATTCTGGAGATGGCACTCCCATAGCCCAAGTACCTTATTGAGATTCCTTATCCAGTCAGCAGATCCTCAGATAAGTCATGGCACGAGGACGTGGGAGATTTTAAAAGTTTTAAAAGTTCTTTGTATTGCTTTTTAATTTGCTTTTTAAGGGGTGGGAGGGAGGATGTAACGTGTACAACTGGGGTGGGTTTAGGGGGCAACCCACAGGTGTCGGGACTGGGTCTTGGGTGGACGGGAGGGTTAGTTCCTATACTGGGGAGGGCGTTTCCATTGACACCGTGGGTGGGAGGGGCAGATATGGTGGGAGCAGGGGGACATATTGTGTTAGGGGAGGGTGCACTCGCTACTTGCGAGCGATTGCGCGCTCCAGCCCCCAATGCTCTTATCGTTCCCTGGGTTGTTCGGACCCCCAGGATCTGGGCCTCCGGTTGATGTTGTGCAATGCCAGGTCCGTGGTAAATAAAGCCCCCCTCATTTGTGATCTGGCTCAGGAGGGGGGTGCGGACCTGATAGGTATTACAGAGACCTGGTTGAGCCAGGAGGGGGGTTTCCCCTCGTCGAGATGTGCCAACCAGGTTTCTATGCATTCCATCAACCGAGGTCCCAGGGGAGGGGCGGGGGGGTGGCGGTTCTGGTAAAGGAAGGATTTGCTCCAAGGGAGGCCACTGTACCTCAGATAGCCGGATGTGAGTCCCTCCTCGTGAAGTGGGGACATGGGAGGCAGATGGGCTTGCTGATTACGTACCTGGCTCCCTGCCACGTATCGGCTGCCCTGCCCGAGCTGCTCAATGTGATTGCCGAGGTGGCAGTAAAAGGCTATCTTTTGCTGATTGAATGGAGGGATCCTCACAAGGCGGGATATTGTCCAATGCCTGTGGTATAATAATCCTATTCTAGAAAGTAAGAAGGAATACAGTCTTATCCTACAGCTTTCTTTCATGTTTTTTTTTATAAACTGTCATTTTAAAGCCCCAGCTACACCTCATATATCTTTATTCCTGTTATATTCTTATTATACCTATCCAACCTGCCCATAAGTTATTCTCCTTAGTGTATCAGAAACAGCTTTTTCTTTGGTACTGAATAATATAAATGGAACAACTGAATTGTTGCTTTTGTCTTTTCCAAAGGTAGACATCTAGAGGAGCTATGGGAAATCAATTTCTTTCCTTTGCCATGGCTTACAAGGATCTTGTCTGATCACTACCATGCAGTGAGTTGGTTTGCTTAATGTGATAATGGGTCAGTCTGGATTGATTGTAAACTCTAGTTTTTCATATGAGATATTTTCACTGTTTACCTTTGTATATGTGCAGGGACCTTGCATTAAAACAAAAATCTTTAATTTGGAACTGTACTTCTATATTTGATGGCACTACTCAGATCTATACACAAAAATATAGAACACAGGTAAAACATACTGTACATACATGTAGGGCCATATTAATATCACTTCTAAGTATGTGTAATGAAGCTGATATGAAAAGTGAATCAGTTTTACCACATTGTGTCACAATAGCATTGTCCATACTGCAAATTGATACTTAACTCTTATTTTGCAAAGACTTTTACCAAAAAAAAAAAAAAAAAAAGCAAGCGTTTACTTCTCTTTACTTGAAGTTGATGCAGGAGAAAATATCTTCTTCAAGTCCTGATAACAGAATGTACATAACCATGCAGTTGTCATGGCAATGAACAGTATTGGTTTGCTACTGTCCTCTTAACAGAATAACAGAACAGCAGAGTTGGAGGCTGTCCAGTCTCTTCTTAAAAACCTCCAGGGTTACAGCCCCTGAAACTTCTGGAAGGAAGCAGTTCTACTGATTAATTGACCCACAACCTCTTTACAAACTCAGCCTTCCAAGATGTTTTTTCAACAAACACCCCCCCCCACCAACCCTACAGTTTAGTCCATAGCTTTGCCATTTCCTAGTAATGTCCCACTTAGTGTCTGACCTTGATTAGCTCTTTTTTGAGATCAGACAAGTTTGCCAAGTGTTGGACATTAGTTTATAAATAGGAATAGGGAATGTTTTCATTACTTTGTGAAGAAACTCAGTGACTATCCATTCTGCTGTAAATAGTTCTCTTTTTGAACATGTTTGTTCATATTTGAAAAATAGTTCAGTTAAATAAGTTAATAGGTCAGTTTAAAGGTCAAGAATGGTAGAAAAATCTGGAAGCCATGAAATTATTATCATTTAGCATTTAGATACCAGACTGAACTGTTCAGGTTATTTGACCTGTCGAATATACCATTTTCTAGAGTCATCCAACTATTGCTGTGTCAGAATATAATGAAATCATTCTGCATTATAAAGTACAGAAATAATCCTTTAGTCATCTGTGCGAGTATTACAGATGATCCTGATATAGATGACAATATATTTTACCAAAACCTAGCAGAACACTAAAATCTGAAAAACGTCTGTCTTTGCTCAAATCTTACAAGATTTCAGATGGCCAAGCTCATGATATTTTGGGCCACTTAGTTAAGTTTTGAAGTTTGTATGACACACTAAACCTCCCTGTGCCATGACTCACATAAGCAGGTCATACCAGTGGGCTGTAAGGAATAATGATGTAACATGCAAACAATTATAAATGCTGTTCGAAATAGAAAACTTGTGACATTATATAACATTGATAAGAAAATTGGGATACGGCTGAGGTACAATTGCATTTTCTGTTCAATTTTATTGAATGCTATATTTAAATGAAAAAGTACCAAATTTATGCATGCTAAATATGGAAGATTTTATTTTCGTTTCAGCTAGAAAATGGTGGTGACATGGCCTTTCAGGCAGATTTTAACACTCAAGCAGTGAGATTTGGTCTTATGCTCAGGGAGGTAAGCTGTGAAGAACTTGCTAAATTAAGTGGGAGAAATGACAAAATGCAGTCAACAGAATCTCTTATACAATCTTCCAGGGCAATATCAATGGGAATAAAGTGCATTGCTGAAATCAAAGAAACTGATTATAATACAGTTTATTCCTAATCTGTCTACACTGTAGAAATTTTCAACTATCACCCCACCTATAATTGGCAAATTGAAGGTGGACGATAGAGATCATACTGTAACATATCTGCAGGCCATTGGGATTTTCATTCTACCCAAAAATATTCAAAAATTCTTGTATACGTACAAATTAAATATAGATATTACAGAGCCTGAGTGGCATAGGAGGCTAATGCCTCCTAAGGCAGCATTTAACATCCAGCTGCCTGCAATTACTGCGAGTTCAATTCTCACCAGGCTAAAGGTCGACTCAGCCTTCCATCCTTTCTAAGGTGGGTAAATTGAGGACCCAGTTTATGGGAGCAATAAGCTGACTTTGTATAAATATACAAAAGTATGAAGGCTACTGCTTAATGCATTGTAAGCTGCCCTGAGTCTCCGGAGAAGGGTGGCATATAAATCAAATTTAAAAAAAAAACAAAAAACATATGATATATCCTACACATACTCAATTAAAGAATAAATCCGATTAAATTGATGCAACTGACTTCTGCATAAACACATATAGGTTTGCATTGCAATGATTTTACAAATAATGGGAAATTATATTGCAATACTATACTAGATATATTTATTAAAAGTCCTATTGAATTTGGTGGGATTATTTTGAGGAAAATTTAAGTATTTTAATCTTAAACACATGCTCAATTCTCTCATGGAACTGAATGAGACATCAAAATGCTTAGGTTTGGTTAGATTGGTTTCTGTAGTTTTCTTCTTCGAACAATAATTTTTTTGAAAAATCTGGGATTCTTAACAAGCTACTACTACTTACAAAATACCGTTATGGCTGGATCTTGGTCATATTATGTGGAATACAAATATAATGTCACTCGGGGGGGGGGTTATACAAAAAGTTCTTTTTATGGATGGGGGCAGATGGCAACTAAAGACATTAGAAACACTGTTGGAAGAGGGGATTAATTTAACTTGGCTACAGTACAATCAACTCCAACTGAGATGGAAAGAAGATCAAAAATTTGGCATAATGATGCATGAAGAAGAATTGGTTAGACATATAAAAGAGAAAGGTCCAATGCATATTAAGAGGGTTTATAATGTTTTGTTAGAAAGAGATTCGGAAAACGAATTGGTTAAAGATTGTATGATAAAGTGGGCCCAAAATTTTGCAGAACCAGTGATGTTGGAAACATGAGAAAAAATATGGGTCCAGAATGTTAAATTTACAGTCGCAGAATTTGAGGGAAAATTTTTATAAAATGTTTTATAGGTGGCATTTAGATCCTAAGAAATTGTCGTGTATGTATCCTAATATTCAATCAAAATGTTGGAGATGTGATTGCTTAGATGCTACATATTATCATATAAGGTGGACCTGCAAGAAAGTGAAGGCTTTTTGGATAAAAATTTGGTGGGTTATGCAAAATGTTCTGAAGAAAAAACTTCAGTTTTCTCCACAATTGTTTTTATTGGGTATAGTTAAGGGTTTTACATTGGGTGAAACAAAGTTGATATTGTACATGGTGACAGCAGTGAGATTATTGATAGGTCATTATTGGAAAAATGATGTTATGCCCACTATAGAAGAATGGACTTTGAAGATGGCTAGTTTTGCAGAGATGGCGAAGATCTCAGCGTATCTAAAAGATCGGACTCAAGAGACTTATGTATGGGAGTGGAAGAAGTGGATAGATTATGTGCAGAATAAATATCAAGCTAGGAAATATCAGATAGCTTTTAGCTGAATGTATTATGCAGGGATAGATTAGCTGAATTTTATGAAGATATAAATAACACACAGGGGGTGGAGGGGTTTAAGTCTTATAAAATGTGATTTTGATTTGGACTTCATCCTGAGGAAGTCTTGGGAGGAGGGATGGGTTAGGGAGGGCTTGGGGGGGGGGGAAACTGGGGAGAAAATGTATTTGTAAAACTTTTTAAATAAATAAAAAAAACAAGCTACTACTATATGTACACAAATACAAATGTAATATATTCATGTATGGAATCTCAGTTAATATCTTACATTATTTGCAGACAATGATACAGGAAATAAGTAGTATTTCTTTTTTTTAAAATAATTTTTATTAAACAGTTTTGTCTTTAAAAACAACATAAAAAACAACCACAAAAACAAAACAAAGCACAGCAAACAATACATACCATCTAAGGTCATTTTACAGCTTTCTGTATCGGCATATGTATTTTGCTTTTGTAATTCTCTATTCTAGCATATCTATTTACTTCTCAATAGTAGTATAATAACATTACATTAACAGGAGCCTAAGTGGTGCAGCAGACTAATGCTACTGTTAAAGGTAGTATTTAGCTTCCAGCTGCCTGCAATTACTGCGAGTTCAATTCTCACCAGGCTCAAGGTTGACTCAGCCTTCCATCCTTTCTAAGGTAGGTAAAATGAGGACCCGGTTTGTGGGGGCAATAAACTGACTTTGTATAAAATATACAAAAGTATGAAGGCTATTGCTTAATGCCTTGTAAGCCGTCCTGAGTCTCCGGAGAAGGGCAGCATATAATTTTTTTTTTTTTAAAAAGTATATATTAACATTCATAGTAGTATTCATTATTCTTATCTACCAATTTATATTCATTTATATTTACATTTCTTTGTTTAATGTTGTTCAATTACTCGAATTTAAGTTTCATTAGTACTAAGTTAAACATTTCCTGTTTTGGTTTCTATTTTTGAGCCAATAGTACATTTTATTCCATACTTCATAATAGTCCGAACCTTCCCTCTCTTTTAGCTCCATAGTCATTTTATCCATTTCTGCACATTCAAGAATTTTCCTAATTACTATTTCGTCTGAGGGTATATTGTTTTGTTTCCAATTTTGTGCAAATATAATTCTTGCTGCAGTGAGTATGTGTAGTTAATGTATAAGGAAATAAGTAGTATTTCATTGCTCTAAAAATCCTTAACAGGGATTAGTAAAAGGAAGCAAACAACAAAGCAAATTCTCCTGTAGAGAATAAATTAGGTACTAATGAGTTATTTATTCCTCATAACTGATCATTTTCTGATATTTTAAGACACTGCAATAGCGTACCTTTATGTACACAAATTAACATGCTGATTATTTCAGGAACCAAGATATCATGCAGAAGTAATTTCCATTTATGGATTCTTCTTCGAGCTAAAAGCAGTAAAACATGATGCTTCAGCATACAGTTTTTACATGAAAGTAAGAACAGCATTTCTAAGATCCTTGAGGTTCAAAGTAATACTCGGACTTTTATTTTTATTTTATTTCTTTTTGAAAGTATTGTGCAGTCTGTAGACAATTGTCATCTATACCCAGAAGGGTAACTTCAGCTATTTTGACTCATGTTGACAATGGAGGATGAAAATATATTCTCACACATGGAAGGATTTGCTTAGGGAACAATGGCTTATATATGCCTACCTGAAAAGTAATCATTTAAGTACTTAATATTGTGGGTTTGCCTCTTTCTTATATACAGGTATTTCTTGACTTACAACAGTTCGTTTAGTGACTGTTTGAAATTACAATGGCACTGAAAAAAGTGACTTATGATCGTTTTTCACACTCACAATGCTTGCAGTATCCTGATGATCACATGATCAAAATTCAGACACTTGGCAACTGACTCATATTTATAACGGTTGCAGTATCCCAGGGTCATGTGATCCCCTTTTGCACCCTTCTGACAAGCAAAGTTAATGGGGAAGCCAGATTCACTTACCAACCATGTTATTAACTTAACTACTGCACTGATTCACTTAACAACTGTGGCAAGAAAGGTCATTAGATGGGTAAAATTCACTTAACAGAAATTTTGGGCTCAATTGTGGTGGTAAGTCAAGAACTATCTGTAGTACGTTCCATGTTAAGATTCTTTTTGTTTGTTTGTTTGTTTAATCTAATGAATTCTGAAGAAAGGATTGGGAGAGGAAGATGCCTCTAGCAGGTTAGACAGCGCATTTTGTGGCATCAAATGATTTTCAACATCAATTTAAAAAATTGAGCTAGATTATACATTCAACATAATAAAAAGCACAAAGAAGATTATTTCTTTACTATTATTGGCAGTAAGAAGGAAAGAAATAATGGAGGCTTGCTGAAGAAATATATATTTTTGGTAAAAAAAATATTCATTTATTTGATAGGTCTTCACATGAGAAAATTGTCTTGGTAACTTATATTCAATTTATGTCTAGATAGCTAGATATTTGCAGATCCAATAAGCTCATCTTTTCTTTTATCTTTTCTTTTAAAAAAATTTAAAAAATCTTTTTCTGATATCTTTTTTTTTATGTACACCGAGAGCGTATGCACCAAGACAAATTCCTTTTGTGTCCAATCACACTTGGCCAATAAAAAATTCTATTCTATTGACTTTCCCTACTCAGATGCTCTCCAGATAAGTTGCCAAGAATTCTAGGAATTAAGGCACAACTTATCTTAAGAGTGTCATATTGGCCAACACTGACGTGTGCTTCGCTTGAAGTTCTGTATTGTTAATCAAGGTGTGTAGGAGGCTGAATCTGCAGCTGGTTCTCTCTTGACCCCCGATGATTTCCTCAGCTGATCTGTTGTTCCAACTGGAGATCAGATCCAGGCCTTAGGTTTACACCTTGGTATGCAGAGATGATTAGTTTTTGCTTGGTCATATGACTCAGGTTGTCCTGGGTTGAACTCTATAGTGATAATGTGCCGAAAAAGGGCCCTAGGCAGCATTAGAGAAAGAGAAGTTTTATACTATTTTCCTCTCCCAGTCTTTATTCCTATCACTCTGCTTAATCTCCCCCCCTCCCCCTGCATTTCTTGCCAGAATAATTTCTATTTTAAAAAAACAGTTCATGAAGTCCTTAAACAGTGCTAGTGGAGTAACAATATTCTATCCTACGTCAAGGTTTTATTGGTAAAAGTTTTTTTTTAATAACTTCAGCAAATAGGCCTTGGTGAGCAAAGAACTGAATTGAACCCCTCTGTCATTTCAGAGAGTCAGACATGCAGATCCAATTATCTCTTACTTTACTGCTGAGCGCAGTCCTGTCAATTTACAGAAAGAACGGGAAGTTAAGTATGAAATAAAAGCACAGTGCCAAATAGATGGAAAGTGGCAAGAATTCACCACAGAAAGGCTGACTCAAAGCTTTGGAGTAAAGAAATCTTCTTCTAAAAGCAAGGTGAGGAAAAACAGAAGAAATTTACTAATTACTTTAAAATGTTTTTGGTGCTAAACAGTAAAATCAGGATAGAGCTTCAGTAATCTCTTGGGCCGGAGAAGCATAGTTTCTGGGTTATTTAAGAAAAATAACTTTGTAGGCAAGGGCCTAGATGATGATGATGATTATTATTATTATTATTATTTTATTTCTATACTGCCCTTCTACTGAAGGACTCAGGGCAGTGTACAGCCTATTAAAAGCACAAGACAAACATCAATTAATATAATTTAAAATTATTAAATAATTCGGCTCAATTTAAAACCCCAGAAATTTAAATCACCCAATTTAAAATTATTTAAGATAATGAACCATAATCTAAGGATTATATGTGAATAAATTCCAAAAAAAGAAAGGCAGTTAGACCATACATCCGGACACATTTTAAACAATTACAAAATATTCGTGTAAACATGTGAAATAATTATAATGCACTTCGCAATTAAAATGTCTTAGATGATTTTGAACAATAATTTAGAATTAGGAACAGACAATATAAATTCACAAGATGAAAAGAAATCAAAACAGAGCAGAAAACACAATATTTAAAACATGCCTGGTTATATTTGATTATTTAAATAAACTTTTGTATATTGCCTCTTCCATTGATTTGGTGACTTACTATAAATGAAGGAAAAAGAATTCATCAAATCACAAGATCCACAAAAGATTCGTGAAATCAGGAACAATCCACAATGAATAAAAACATAAATACTATTTTAAAAAACCAATTTCTGCCCTTAGATAAGTTTGTCCTCCTCAAATAGCCTTCTAAAAAGGGCTTTATTCACTGTTTCTCTAACAATGTAAAGGAGGAGAACTTTTGCTCTTTGAGTGGAGCCTGCAACTAAGAACGTCAATCTCAGGGTCCCAGCCCTGTTAAGGTGGGCACCTGAACTTCTATTTCTTAGATCAGGGTTCCCCAAACCCCAGTCCGCGGTCCAGAACCACTGCCCAGAACCACGGGCCGTTAGGACCTGGGCTGCACAAACAGCAGGTGAGTGTGCGAAGCTCCATTTGCACAAGCGGCGTGTGTGTGGGCAAAATCATCCTCTTTCTACCACTGCTGCTGCTGATCTGCCAAGCCAGAAAAGTTGGGAACTGTTCTCCTAGACCAGGGGTCTCCAACCTGGGCAACTTTAAGCTTGAGGACTTCAGAATTCTGGGAGTTGAAGTCCTCCAGGCTTAAAGTTGCCCAGGTTGGAGACCCCTGTCCTAGACCATATGTAGTCTCCACCGTAATTCAAGCTTATGAATTACTAAGAAACCAATAGGGTAAAAAAAGGCAAGTTTCCCATAGGAGGAAGTTCTGTCAGGAAGGGGAGCTTTTCTAACAAAGTTCATTAAAATTAAAATGAAAAGAAATAATTCTTTAAAGCAGGGGTGTCCAACCTTGACAACTTTAAGACTAGTGGACTTCAACTCACAGAATTTCCTAGCCAGTCACTTCTGCTTTAGATATTATCTTTCTAGCCAAACTAGGGAAATATTTGCAGGTGTATCTTGTTTTCTTGTTTTCTCTTTTCCTTCTAGCAAAAAAGAAAATAAATTTTTGTCTTATGGGTCCCATAAGTAGAAACATGTTAACCCTTCCTCTTTTCCCCCCACAAACATAGATCTTGAAAGCAAGAATACCATCAGTTCCCATCTATGTGACATTTTTGCTTCTTTTCCCATCATCTTAAAAGATCACATTTGTTCCTCCATCAGTGAACTCCTTCTGACATCTAGCAGAGGAGAGTTAGAATTGGAGATGTTCCAGCAGATGACTACAGTTTTTATAACATGAAAATAAACGGTACCCTCTCCCATCATATTCAATTCACTGGGCCATTGACCTTATCTACATTCTGCTTTTGAGTAACGTTGCAAATACTTTGACCTTCCTAAACCAGGTACCCTTTGGTAAGATTGACACATTGACTGGGAATGCTGAAATATGTAACAAATATCTGGCATTGGGGAAATCTGGTTCATGTCTCCTTAAGCATGTATTGGTCCCCAACCTTTCTGGCTTGGTGGCTCAGTGGGTGGGTGGGTGGGAGAACCGATGGTTCTGTGTGAATGGCAGGTGCTTGCGTGAGTGTGCACAGCTCCATTTGCGAGAGGGGCACCCACACGCCCCCACCAATCATACAAATGAACTGGCATGTGCTCACACAAGCACCTGCCGTTTGTGCAAGTGGAGCTGCTCACACATGAATGGACCACTGCCCAGTAGTAGGCCACGACCCAGAGGTTGGGGACCGCTGTTGTATTCCAAGCAGTGGTATGGTCCTAACTAGCAAGTAAAGGAGCTTCCAAGTGTACAAGAAATTTAATTGAGTTTTCTTCTCTCCTTTTATCCAGCTGGCCTGCAGCCAACTTCATTGTGATTCCCATAAATAGTGGTGATGAAGCAATAAGATTACCATGCCAACCCACTCCAGCTTCCCCTCCCACTGCACAAATTCCACAGGAAGCACACCAAAATTATAGATGGTTCCAGATGAATATACAATATGCATGATTCATGACAATTAGAGCAGATGTTGATATTACCCTTTAACATGGGTATTATGTTTTACCTGTTTTCTCCCCCTTTTTAATCTTAACAATTGTAAGGCAGAAAAACTGAGCACAAATCTTCACAGGAGTAGATATGTTCCATCAGGCTCTCATCAAATTGGATTTAGTTAAGAAATGGCTGTTTTCCTTTTCCTTATTTTCTGTCTCTTTGGAGCAACTAAACAACTATTGAAATTTCTGTATAGATTTTTCTTTATGCAGGTGGTCCTCAACTTACAACTAGTACAATGACTGCAATAATTTACAACCAAAATTCCAGGGCCAATTGTGATCTCAAGTCAAGGACTACCTGTATATAAATTGTTTCAATATATACAATCTTTATAGAATTTTTAATGGATTTTAATTAAAGTGTTCTTCATCCTTTGGAGATAAATTAAGAACAAGATTGTTCTCCTGTATTTAATGAACATGCAAATGAAAAGCACCCCCTCATAGAAAGGCATGAATTTCAATACTATAGTAATTTTATTTATTTATTTTTGTATGTGTAGATAATTGTTGATAACCACCTTTGACTCTATTACCCAGTTAGTTTTGGAATAAAAATAGTTCATTGGTTGAGAAAACAAGGGGTAGGAAGAAATCAGATCACAGCTAATTTTTTTTTCATATGGTTAACCATAGTTCACTATTTTCATCACCACACTGAAAAATAGACAAGTGCTATTCTTCTTAGACATCCTTAATGTACAGTAAAATGAGAACTCTGTTTCTTAGAAAAGTAATAGTAGTTGCAGATTGAAGAAAACACCAAACATTAGGTTTGGCTTAATGTATTTTTAACCAATTGCACTTTATATAGGCTGTAGTAGAGATAGATACCCATGGTGGATCTACTGCATACAGCTCCTGAAGTCCCATTTCATGGTTTCAGGTTCCCTCCAGACAATTTATTCAATTGTCATGTTCCTGTAGTCAAATATGTCTATTCAGTTTTTATACTGAATCTGTGTACCTTCAGTTACAAAGCTTCAGATACCAGGTAGCAGATGAGATAAAAGATCTTTACTTGAAACTCTGGAAATCTGCTGCCACTGAGGTTATTCATTGTTTTAGATGGCTGAGTAATCTGACCTGATACAAAACAGTCTTCTAACCATGAATATTTCTGTCAAATACTCTTTTAAAACATTAGGATATTTGAGTATGTATAGATACTCAGCTGTAGTCCTGGGTATGTTTATTCTGTATGAATAAGCAAGCTTTCAGTCATGGTTGCTATTATTGATGGCATCCCATGATTGTTGGGTGAGGCAACTTCCTTCCGGCTTCCCGCAACCAAAATCAACGGGGAAGCCAGCAGGAGGTTGCAAGTCCCAGGCCAGTTAGACAAGTAGTGACTGCAGCTAGGTGGCAAAGGGAGCTAGGAGGTACATGTGGGGGAGATGGGAGAGAGTAGGGAGGGTATACAAAGTGCAAAAGAGAGGGAGAATATTCGAGAGTGCAAGGAAAGATTGGGGGGGGTGTATGAGTTGCCGGCTTAGCAGAAGCGCAAAGGGGCTGGAGCAGATTGTGCAGGTGGGAGAGATTTACCCAGCAAGTTGCAACCTTCCCTATTGGCTTCCTCATTAGCTTTCTTGGGAAATCGACAGGGGAGGTTGCAAATGAGGATCATGTGATCATGGGGTACTTGGCAAACTGTGGTAAGGGTCAACTGGTTGCCAAACACTCGGATTATGATCACATGAGCACCAGGGTGTGGGGTGGATAGAACTCTGAGGACTAGTCATAACCACCTTTATTCAGCGCCACTATAATTTCAAACGATTGCTGAACCAATGGTCCTAGGCTGAGGACTACCGGTATTTTTTTTTTTTTAATTTTACTCTCTCAATGATGAAGCACAAAAAGCAAATTTAATTAAATCCCATAATACAGAATGAGCATGCCCTATTATTAATAAACTGCCTTACAGATAAATATAGTCTACATTTACTGAATAGTTAGGCAAATAGTCTCCTTTGTCCAATTAGCAAATTGTAAAGCAACTTCAATTTTCAAGATCTTGTATGTTTGAATGTCCCCTCCCCGTTTGGCAAGTTCTGAAACAATATGTGAAATGAGAAGGCAGAAAGTGCCTACAGCTGTGGAAAGTTCAGGCATATCCATCTCTTACATACTTCATGAATAAGCTTTCAAATCTTCTGCACAGTGTTTGCATGTGGGCAAGATAGATGGGCATCCAGGAAACAGGAAGCACATTCTTGCTGCTGGGCTTTTTCTTTAATGACAGTTGATGGAAAAGACTCCTTCAAAGCTGCTTTGCAAAGTAACAAGGCACCTTCCCCTCCACCCCCCCAAAAGCCAAACCGAACTAAACCAAGCCAAGCTGGCTAATGAAAGAGATCTGAGGGCAACAAAGAATTTCTGATAGCATCAAACACCATGAAAAAGTATGCATAAAATTAGGATTTACAATAAATCATGATTGATGTGATTTTAATTTCCTATATTATATAAACTTTTGTGGATGGGAATATAATTATTTTTGGTTTAATGTACTCCATGAACCTGTCTAATAGAAGCTGATAAATGGTGGTTAAGCAAAGCATTATATACTACAATTGATAAATGTGCAGGGTATACAAAACTCACTTTCTCTTCAGTGGAGGACAGGGTTAGCTAATGACCAATTAGCACAACTAGTGGTTTGATACACACATCATGCTTAATTATGGCTTGTTGACTAAAGCAAGCTAGCATAATATGTTAAATCCAGCCACTTAATTTGTATTTGTGATAAGTACTGAAGAGGGATGGCATTGCTGGTTAGCCACAAAACAGGCTAACCTTTTTAAAAAAACAAAACAAAACAAAACGAAATCAACACTAACACAACAACAAAACAAATGACATTTTTTAAAAAAAACGAAGTTACCCTAAAAATTCAAAGTAGCAAAAGGAGAAAAGAGAAAGAAGTAGAATCCTAACTCTTGCAAAAATCATTTGCTTTCGTCCTTGACTTTCACCTTGGTCCTGTCAGCAAAACACCTACACACCAAGAAATACAAAGGTCAGGATCATGATTTGTATCAGGTAACAATAATAAAAATACCCATGGAGTCAAAACGTGGGTGTTACAGGAAACATGGTCAACATGTCAGCAAAGTTAAATACAGGAAGCATGATGCAACTCCTGCGCCTGGGAGGAGGAGGAGGAGGGCGGGAGAATCTTTCTGTATTTGCAAACAAAGAGCTTAGGGAGAACACCAAAGCTTCACCAAAAACACCCACCACCACCACCACCAAACCATTTGAAAAAATGTGGGTGCTATAAAATCAGCCTTATGGAAGGTGAAGAAAAGTCTCCAAACGTTTTGACCAAAAAAAAAAAAAAACAACCCACCAAACAAATCCTGGACTATTTCAGTTAACAATTCTATTCTTAGACAAGATGTGGAGAGAAATAACATTCAGCTGGTTTACAAGCCATGCAAAAAAAAAAAAAATAGCATGCTGTTGACTGTTTTAAAAACTTTGGTCGGACAGTAGAAAAGAGAACCATAACAGGAAAATAACCCAAAGAGAAGTAAAATCTCTTTACATTTTTCACATGGAAAAATGAAATCAGATCAGATGAGCGCCCCAAGAAAGACAGCCCAGTATTGTAAATTTATTCTGTAAGAGCCCTCTGAAGCAGATCAAAGCACTGAGGTGATTGAAATGAGAAAATTATTCTTTTAAGATTCCATACTGTGTAAGTCCTTGACGGTAAACACTAGCCTATGGATAGGTATTCAGAACCAGATAAGGAGGCTGATCAATCTCTATAGACCTTTAACCAGATCAGGAGGCTACTTTACTCAGTCCCTTAAGTGCTGGAGTAATATTTTCTTTTCTTTCAGCCTTCAATTAATAATCTTACAGCTATATTTTCTTCCAGAGGCAAGTGATTTTTCAAGCAGTGTTTAAATGCAGCTCAAGATACAAAAGATGCAGTAAACCTTAATTGAAGAACACGGGTAAATGTCTAGGTCAACTGTATGTTTGTACAATTGCAATGCAATAAGTTGGAGAAAGAATAAAAGAGGATGAATTGACTATCAGATATAATTTCCTCATACCAACCTTCTAATTTTGATTGTGCATGGCAGACATTGTAACCAAAATGTTTCTGCTATACTTCAGATTCCTGTTGCTAAGAATGAATGGAATTAACCTAATAGATGTGCAACATCCAAGGATTAGGGCTGTGTGACATAACAGCCCCACTACACGTCAAACCTCATGAAAAGCCATGTCCCCTGATATTACTTCATACATAGCACTTATTATTATAAGTAACTGAGTTTAAACACGCTTGGAATAAACACGTCTATCATCTGACAAAAAATTAAAATTAAAAATACTATAAAAATAATACATAAATACATTAAAAGAAACAAAAAAAAATTAAAGGGCAGTCTCAATGGGCAGTCTGTCTTTTTCTACTGTCAGTTTTCTATGATTCTATTCTGTCTTGAATTATAATATAATTTGGATACTGAGTGGCCATAAAATTTCCCAGTCCCTGAGTTCCCAGATTCAGAAAATATGCTTACCCAGTTTGTATTAAACCATTTATTGAAATTGCACTAGAGAATAATTAATGATTGGATCATAACTATATTTCTGCATGTTGTCCACGCATGTTGCAACTGGTTCCATGCAAATAGGCAAAGTAGATCACCTTCATATATGTTAGCCCTAAAACTATACAGTGACAATTATGATTCAGCTACCATGAGTTTGTAATAGTGTATAAAGTTTCAAAAGAAGTTTTTGGTTGTGTTCTGCAGACCACATACATAAAGTTTATGTTTATTATTTTTTAAGGGATGCTAACCTCACATATCAGTTGGCTGAATATCTTCAAGTTATGCAACTGCAGAAATCTTTTAATTAGGTATGTTCTTTTATTGTCCTATTATTTTTTTCTTCCCCAATAACAAATTTTTGAGTCAAACTATTTCTTTCTACTGTAGTCTTGTAAAGGCTGGTCAAAGACCATAATAAAGATATTTGACACCTTTACCAAAAGTTGAGTACATAAAATCTTGCTAATCCAAGGGGAATCAGCAAGGCAAGTTACAATGCAAAACTTTGCCATAGTTTCAGAGTTCTTCAATCTCTGATTAAATGGGAAATAAGAAACATAACACTTAGATCCTCTGCCCTGAAAGTATGTGAAAAAGTAACCACCAGGACTCAAGACTGACTCAAATGCATCAAAAAGCCAAAATCAAACAAACAAAAAGTGTTCCACAAAAACATTATAAGGTTGGCTGAATAAACATGATTCACAAGGACAGAGACATCACTCAAATTATATTCTCTGATCTCTATCTTTCATTAGCATTGAAGGAAACTGAGCTATCATAAAAGCACTATGATGTT